ACAACATTTTCTCCCTTTTCCTCAATTTCTTCCACGTCGTTCGAATGAGAGCTAGCCTGTAAGAGACCGATGATAATTTAAGGACGTGAAAAATCATTAAAACAGGGAAATTTCACGCTAGGACCGCCCGATTTCCCAACGCCGCGCTGTCTGATCACTCTCCAGGGAAATAAACCCCGGGCCCATTACCAGTTCCGGGCTTGACTTACAGCTTTCGGCGACCGCACGTCACATCTTGGGCAAACGAGGTGTTCGGCGCCACGGCTAGCGGGGCAAATTCCCCTGCGACGCCGTGGTGTGGGAAAAACTCGGTTTCCTCGTCTGGTAACACTGACGGGGTGGACTTTCCGCAGACGAATTATTCGAGATCCTCGACTGCTATCCCGGCGATAGTAGAGAAAGAGAAAAATATATTTGGGAAACCTTGCACTGCTATGCTCCATTTAGTGTTAAAATTATTTCTGCAGGTCAAAACTGAGATTTGCCTGATGATGACTCATGGCCAAAAATCCTCACCTGATTTGCAAATCTTTGCCCCCTAGAAAATTGCTCACCCCGACATCCATCAGACGAATCAGTCGGTTCATTTGAATAAAATCAGTTCAATTTGGAGGAAAACTCAATTTTAAAAGTTGGGTCGTTCTCATTTCGGTGACACGACAGATTAGACAAAATATCGGCTTGTTGAACGAGGGAATCGCTGAACGCTACCGTGCTGAATAAAAACGCCGTAGAAACAATCGAATGTTGCCAAATTTCTGTTTATAAAACACTCATTTCGGAGAAAACTGAGGAATATTTTTCATCGACAATTTCAGATACCGTAGATTAAATTGATCGATGAATTTTCTAAAAAACTGAGAGAAAAATATCCACAAGTTTCCTTGGAAAATTGTATTTAATCAGAAGAAATTTGGCAACGTCTAGAGGCTCATTCGGCGTTTTGCCTTAGCATAGCAGAACGGTCGACAAGAAGATAATTCCGAGGGCTGAGTGGTGGCGCTCCGAAAGTAAAAGTTCCCACCTTTCACCGAGCGGCGGTATTTATCTCGGGAACTTCCCATCGCCGGCGACTTTCTTTGAAGTAAACCCGCGGGATAGACCAGGGAGAGTGTTTTTTCCGAAAAGGGTTGATTGTTAGAGCAACGGCTCACTAAATGAACTCATATTCTCGTTCGTACAAAATCGACTAATTTTCAGGGTTCTGCTTAAATGAGCGCTGCTCCTGGCAAATAGAGGGGAATTCTCCCTTTAGAAGACACGGAAACAAAAATTATGAGATAACAATGGGTAACGACAAAGGTGAAACGCCCATCTGGTAAAAAATTGAGACACAAAATGTTGGATTAACTACAGAAATGACTCAGATAAAGAACAAGACCCTTACGTGAGACCTACAACAAATTGTAGTTTCCTTCGTGGAAGGACGAAACTACATTACAATGTCGCCAAATTTCCCCTCGCAAATTGCATTAGCAACGGGAGAATTTGGAACATTTCTGACTGCAAATTTCACTGATTTTATCTTTTGATCTCATGCAAAAATCAGAAACATTTTAGGTACAAGTCGCACAGGTACATGCTTGTAAAAAATTGAATAATTTAAGTCGATTTTGCAACCTTAAGATGGATGTAGAAATGTTTACATCCAGGAGAGGACAAAATTAGGTCAGAAAAAGGAATCTAAATAAATTAGCACTCAAAAGTAACGCAAGACTTTAAATTGCCAACTCGTCGATAGGTGCAGAACCAAGAAAGAGGATGAGGCAAAAAAAATTTAAAAAATAAATTCTACTTAAGAACTAGGCAGAAAGAACTATTTTGGGCGTCTCTTGAATTTGCTGAGATTTGAAAAAATTGATAGTGTTGTCACAGTAGAGCAAATTATACTGCAGAAACAAACTTCACCAATGACGACAGAGAATACAACTTTTTGAATTGACTAATACTGAAAAGCTGGCACTACAAAGAACAACAAATACATCACGACACCGAATTCTTCCCCTTCAAATTGATGAATTACAAACTGAGAAGGTGAGCAACGATGCAAATTAAATCAGATCCTTTATATTAAAGAGAAAAGCGCATTCTTCTTCTCGAACACACTATCCATTCCAAAACATGGGTATATAAATTCCTTCAATTTAGAAAGCACTCTGAGCTATTTAAAAAACAAATTCGTTCACCATTATACAGGGAACTAACCAGGGTAATGACCTTTTACATAAGAAAGACACCACAAAGGAGATCGTCAGACTACTTGGAAGAAATGGTTGAATAAAATCGAGCCAAGAGAATACAATTAGAAACCCAAATAAGCCCTAGACAACCAGGAAAAAGGCTGAGGTTTTGACAAGAAAACAAATGGAGGAATTGATATACTTGAGATCAATTTATAAATCTAGCATAGGCATTACACACCAAGTAAGCTCGCGGATGTTTTAAAAATTTAAAGCAGATTACCAATTTCAACATGAATATTTGGAAGAAAAATAGATTTTGATAACTTGACTGTCACAACCGAAAAACCAAACTGACTATGGAATACTCAAGGATGGATAGAATTTTCACTACATTCGCGGAACACCAATGATCGATTCCTCTCACCTTTCATAATGATAAGTAAAAAAACAAAGGTTGGAAGCATACAAGCTGCACATATTAAAACTGATCCCTCCAGTGTCTCTTAAAACATTGAAGATACCGCCATCTCTGAGGAAAATAGCGCTGAAAAATGAACGCTGCTAATAAATAGGTTAACATGAGTAGCAATATCCATTAATCAAAACGTTAAAATTTGAATTAAAAAATTAGGGAGAGCAGAAAGAGCAAAGGGATGGTCTGTCTACGGAAACTTAGAATAATTGGGGAAAGAAGCCTAAAAACCTATTGTCCATAAAATATTTCTTTGTTGTGTCATGACATGAAAATACACAGACAATAAGAGATACATAGAACAACCCAATCTATAGCCGCAAAATGGCAACCATTCGAGAATACTTTCAGGAAATTACTTCCATATTAATTAAGACCAACAAGTAGGTGGAAGAAATTAGAAAAGGAGCAGCGGTGAGTGAAACGGGGCGTTTTAGCTGAGACAAAATAAATTGAAAACGGCAGACAATTCTCACTTGCGCAAAAAAAAAAAAAAAAACAAAGCAAAATAATTTGACTGAAAATAATGATCCACACTGATATACAAAGGCTTTTTCCAAATAATCTCTGCCTGCTTGAAGCAAACAGCTTGCATGATAAGATGAGCATGGTTGTGATGGGAGTCTCAAGATATTTTAAGATCGTAAAACATTATCAGCACTTGAACGAACTTCAACAGAGTAGTTGACTCTTGCGAGCAGAATTATCAAGTTCACTATTGTTGTTGTGAATGCTAATATCATTTCACCCTCTGATAAGTAAAATTGAAACTTAAGGAAAGGTTTGAGTTGAACAGTAATTTCTCCTGTTGGGGCAAGTTGAATTATGTACTTTGAGAGGAAAGATTGAAAGGAAGGTTAGGAATGCTTGAGATGGGAAACGGTTAAATTTGAAACAGAGTGCAAATTGTGACCTTAAATAAAATTTTCATTCTTAGGACTCAGGGACACCCGGTGAACTTCAAGAGATAAGTTGTTAAACAGTTACTTTTGATTTATGGATACACTGGATAACGAAGCACACGGGCTTGACTTTTGAGATAAAATTCTCACAATAGAAAATTATCACAGTGCCTCATGAAAGTAAAATAATTTTCCAGGGGATTTATCTTGGACACATTAGAGGATCGAAAATTTTAAGACATAAAAATAAATGCAGAATTTTGCAAAACTTCAGAGTGGAACTGATGACTCAATATGAAGTACCTTGCAATAAAATATCTGGTAATATTAAAATGTGCCTACTTGTCATACGAATTTGAGGCAAGTGAGAAGGTGCATGAAACCTAGCAAAAATATTTCAAGGACATAGATCACTAATTAAATAAGATAAAAATCGAGAGTGAGCAGGCAAAGAAAAAAGCACCACCACCATTTAAATTAGTAAGGAAATTAAGTTGATTGATTTGGCTTAGCACAATGGTACACAACTGATCACTCCTGCAACCACATGGATTGCCACATGGCACCAACACTAACACGGAGAAATAAAAATTTGGTCGTCCTCGGGGAGAAATAATTGTCACTATGCACTTGAAAAAATTTGGAATTCATCAATTCATCCGAAGAACTTGATGAGGGGCAATAAGATTAAATTGAAAGTCCCGCACTGGACTGGGAACAAAACGTGTTTAAATACCACACAATTAGAGCGAGATTGAATATTTTTTTAAATCGACCTAGACATATTTTGGACGTTTAATACTTATTCAAACGCTTCCAGAAAGTATGGAATATTTCTGAGTAAGAATTAAGAGAAATCCAATTCGGTCTGGAGGCGACGTTTCGACACGAAGAAATCAACCGCACCAAGAAATAAAATTACGAAACCAAGGAAGCTGCTTTGGAATTGATTGAAGTGATAAAGAAGCAACTTCTGCACTAATATTTCCACTGTGGGCTTTTGGTTGATAAGAAAAATAATGAAACTTGAAAATACACCACTTGGCCTCAGGGAACTTTCGCAGTAAAGATGGCCTTGAATTAATGCAATTGCACTTCGCGCACTAAAAATGGAAAATTATACCAGCCGAAAATTAAGAAACAAATATTTCACGAATTTTGAAAGTTAGGAAAAATAAACGGACGCACAGAACACCTTCACAACACCGATGATGATAAAATCCGATTCGGTCGACTTGCCCGAATATGTACTTCAGGGTCACATAAATCCAAGAGATGGCAAAAATCCACGATTGCAGGAGGCAGATGATGGGAAAATTTCATTTAATCCCAGTCGAAGAAATTCACGTTGTTCGGTGAAGGTTAGGAGGGAGAGGAAAACCCAGTGTAAATCAAAGTAGAGTGAGGAAAATAGTGAGATGAAAAATATGGAGCTCAGCTAACCTGCTTCCAGGCGTCTTTTTCGTTTTCGGCCTTTTACTAAAGCTTCTGAGATCGTTCGGTATTGGCAAAGTTGACGCATATCCATGTTCTGCTTCTGGAAAAAAACCAAAAAGGTATTAGAATAATCGGCAATAATAAGGTCGACTCGTAAGGGAAGCCATGTTGACGTGGAAACACAAAGAAAAATAGCTGAAAAAACACTTGCTCACCTCTTTCTCGTCGTTCTAGATATTCTGCCGCTTGTATCAAAGCTGCAATGGACATTTTTTCACTAATTTAAATTAAAATCCTAATTTGGACAAAGAAAATTTAGTCTCAACACGCACGCACTACAGGCACCGTTTCCGCCAGATTCACTCCTGAATTTATTGATGTCAAACAAACTACAAACGTACTGTGCTTACTAACAAACGCGCTCTGAGAGCTCCGCGTCCATTGGCCCATGCGCCGCGAGCTGCATACTCAGCGCCAATCAGCGCGCGCCTCACAACCCCATGCACTACCTGAGCAGTCACGTGAATTTCATGCCTTGGAACGAAACAAAACAAATAGCATGGGCGCTGTGAGCGAGAGAGAGCCCTATGTTCGAATTATGATCCTCGCTTGCTCTATCTCCTCCTGCCAGCGTCCTGGTGCTCGAGCTTTTACATTTTCAACTTTTCAACTTTGACAGGATAGTCTCCTCGCAGTCTAATACAAAAATTTCACGTAGATGTGGCACTGATGACCCCTCCAACCCGTACCTTTAGAAACGGGGCACATTTGACCTTAAAAATTAACAGGAAAAATTTTTGTTTTCGTTTTTTTTTTAAATTTCCAAATAATTATAACGAGGGGAGAAAATGAAAATTGGTTCAGTTTTTTTAGATATTTTCCTTGGTCCCTCCACTTTTAAAACAATTTCTGCCTTAGTAGTGACACATATTTTTTCGATTTTCGATCTAAATTTCTTCTGGGGCAAACATTTTCTCTTCCAGTCTGATTAAAAAAAAAAATCAAATTTTGATGCGTGAGAGATCAACAACTCCCACACATCAGGAAAACCTACTTAGCTTACTTAGCGTTCAAAAAGCCCTTAATTAGCGCAGCACGCTTTAGGTGTTCGAATTTTTTTTTTCCAAATTAATTTAAAATTCGCAAAAATAAAAGCGAGTATCTATCACGTAAAGTTATGGCGTTATTAAAAAAAATTCCCCTTGTCAAATATTTTTTCTGCTTTTTAATCAAAGCTCACCCATACCGCTGTGCCGCCGTCGATGATTATTTTAACTATTAATACGATGGTAAAGTTTAATAAGTATTTTAATTCTGATATTAGCGTACTTCTATAGAAGTTAAAGGATCGCAAGAAAGCAGGCAATGCTAAGCGATTCAAGAAAGCCATTGTACTAATGTTGTAAGAGTACCAGCTTTTGTCCCAGCTTGCATAAAATCGATTTTCCCGTAAAATTTCCGCGCCAATCAAAACAAAAAAAACTTAACCCCGCAGGTTAACCACACCAGTGAGTACAAAATCCTCACGAACATGACCAACAAAAGCCCATTTCATGGAGTTCATTCAACGGAATTAAAATCGTTTACGGAATGAATAGAAATTGTGAAAATGAAGAAAATAAAATTGACTCAACTAGATTCTAGCACTGAAAGAAGCACCGCTTGAGTTTGTGAGCTGAATGTACGTGGAGTCCCAAAGCGGGTGTAGTGAAATTTCGTTGGCGTTCGCGGTTAAGTTGGTGGTACTGCGCTGAGCGTTGCTGGCCTTTCGTGATTGGACAGCGGGTACGCGGAGGAATTTTGACGCCACTTTCAAACGATAACGCTCATCTCGACGACCGCGTCTTGGTCCTCTTCCACCCCCTCCTCCCATTCCGAGTAAGTTCAACTTCCTTGGCTCCCTGCGGTTATTACGGTTGTCCAGTGGTTCTCATGTGTGTGTGGAGGTGTGTTTTTATGATACTCGCCAGGATTCAAGCTTGGTTGAAAAGTTGCCTTGCATGCATTAAACTTGCTTTGTTCAAATCCAACTTTCAGTTTTGGAAGTTTCGCGGAGAACGTGCTCTGACCCAGTAGGTAGCATTTTTAAACGGAAAAATCGCAATATTTAGAAATTAAGTTACGATTTTTTTGCGACAAAATTGCTGGGATCATCAACAGTTGAGCGATTGTCCTCGATATTATGGCAATTTTATCTCTATGAAATCGCGTTCGATGAAATCGAGATTTTTTCTCAACGTATCGCGATTTTTTGTTCGATAGTATTGCGATACATTGCCGTCAATAAAATTGCGATTATATTGCAAATTTATGTGATGAAATCGCAATATGTCGCAATTTTTTCATCCGATAATGTTGCAATAAATTGAAGCCGATAAAATCGCAACCTATCGCGATCACTGCTCCTTGGGGAAGAGTCAAAAGATTGAAATACATCAACGGCCACATGTAGCACGAAACAACGTATCTCCATAGCGATGTTTCAACGTTTCCGCTTCTATTTTATTTTTCCGATGAGAAACAAGCCACAATTGTACTCTCTAAGTACAGAGTATCCTGCTAGCAGAGAGGAAAAATAAAGGAGGTTTTAAAAAATTACGTTGATTAAGTTTCTAAAGTAAAAAAAAAGTGTGACAGGAAATCTGCAACATCGAAATAGCGATACGTCGTTTCACACTTTAGCCATATTGATATTAGATTGTGTGTTTAATAGTATCGCTGCTAGACTTTTTTGTAGGTCCAGAGATTCAGAAGTATTCCTTCTCTCCAAAAAAAAAAAAAATTGGAAGCATGCTCGGAAGAGATGTTGAACAGAACTTGTGTTTTGTTCAGTACCTATTTGCCCAAAAAAGGGGGATATTTAATCGTCTCACTTTCCCCACTTACCTACATGGGATAAATTATTTTTCACAAAAAAAAATGGATTGCTGATTTAAGAATTAAATTGTTAAAAAGTCCGACATGTTTCAGATATACATTTTAAAATTTTAAAATCAATTAACCACGAGGAGGGTTAAATTAGCACTTTTTACTGGAAAATCTATATTGAAACAAGCCGGACACTATTCCTGACTACAAAATTGTTAAATCAGCAATTTCGTTCTTTCCGTGTAAGAGATTTTCAAAATAGTAGACAAAAGTGTGATGTGTTCTTAGTCACTTCCCTACCACTGTCTGCAGTTTTTGAGGACTTTTAAAATAATTTTTCAGGTATGATGAAAAAAAATGACGCATCAAACATCATCCTCTCCAGGAAGTTCTTGAAGTTTTTGACAAATATATTTTTCTTTAAAAAATAAAGATGAAGACCCTGTGTTATTTCGAGCCAAGCAGAGACACTTTGCCACATCACCTAAAAGGTAGGGGAATGCCATGTAGCCCGTATTTCAAATTACAGCTCTAATTTTTTCTTTGAGACAAAAATACCGGTGTAAATTCTGCAAATTGCCTTTTTGAAATGAGCAGGTACTCAACAGGAGTTGGTGATAAAGTTTTGTAATGATTGGAGAAAAAAGACTTATGTAAATGATTTACTAACCACAGTTGGACATATTTCTATCAAACAGAACTAGGTGCAGAGGAAAAACGAGGGGTGTGCTCGTTTGTCGAGGGCCATAAGAATGAATGGGAAATACAAAGCGACACTAACATCAGTGGCAAGGACGAGAGAAACGACGATCGGGGTAGTCTTTAACTCATGAGCCCTGTCCAAGAGGCTATAGATACATGCCCACGGCTCATACACTGTGCACATAGTTCTGTTTGACAGAACTTGAAATATCCCGCTTCTCCAATTCAGCAAACGAAACTGTGAACCAACTAAGTGCGGCACCCATGATCCGTGGGTATGTATCTAGAGCCTTGTGGACAGGATTCATGAATTAAAGACTGCCCCGATCGTCGTTTCTCTCCTCGTTGCCGCTGATGTCACTGGCACTTTATATTTCTCATTCATTCTTATGGCCAGACCACTATCAAGCACACCCCATCTCTCCCTCTGCACATAGTTCTGTTTGATAGAAATACATCGAGTTGATAAAATTTAAAAGAAAATAAAAAGCATTTGAAAAGCAACAATCATGCTTCGATCTGTTCTGTTTTTAAGAAGGCTCCTTTAGAAATTATACTTGGAAAATTATACTTGATGAAGATCATTTACCATGACACCTAAAGTTTTTTGACTACTGCATTTAGCTCTATTTGGGAACATGAGTAATAAGAATTAGAAATTGATAAAAAAAAGCAAACATCTATTATAAAAATAAAAACAAAATTGAAATATAATATTTTTACCAGTACGGTTCTGGCGATTATCACAATCACATTTTTATACACAAGCAATACAAAATTGGTGCTTCAAAAAGGTTGAAGCAGCTACATTTCAGACACTGGTTCCATATTCAAGCAATTGAGACCGTTTCGGAGAACTTGAAGAGCTGCGCGTACAAGGTAAATACGGGCGAACATGGAAGGATACAATTTGGAAGTTTGAGTCTGGAAAAAAAGGAGAAAATTAAGTATAAAAAGGAGAAATTCTACTAGGTAATTCAGTAAAACTGAAAGAAAAAATAAATCAGTAATTGATAGAAATAATCAACTGACTGTTGAATTTGAAAATAAACAGTCGTATTCTTGAAGACTCTATTCAAAAATATTTGTTTTTACATATAATACCAAACTATGTTGTTATAGGATGAAAAGAGAAGTTACTCAAAGAAACAAAAACTTTTTAGTGATGGCTGGTTGCATTGTATGATCCATCCATTGTGTTGATGGTTTTGACAAACTAACTTATATATATAAAGTCGCTCCTAAAAACTCCTGAGAAACTAATTTCTTTTTTTAAATGGACTATGCGCATTCCTCGGTTAACTCTCCAAGGTTGTTTTTCCTCTCATATGAGCACTGTTCAGTCAGGGTTCCTTGGACGGCAGAAGGTAAAGACAGCAACTCTACGATGAGAAGTTACCTCGTTTTTGTGGGCTATCTGGATTGTTTCCTCAGCGATAAAAATTTGAGAGGATAGGCATTTCTGAAGGGCAGACTTGAGCGCACTCTAAAACTCTGTTTTTACAGCTTACACAAAAAAGAAACAGTCTTATTCTTGCAATTGAAGAAGAAAGTTGCATTTTCATCTGTGAATGAACTATTATTACAAGAGAAGGTCAAACTGACAGTTCTACAAGTCTTTCTGGAGGTGGTTTGAATTTATACATTAAAAAAGTTTATATGTTTCTTACAAGTTATTTTCAGTAATTTTTGTGGTACAAATTGTGTTCTACGTAAAATTTTGACAAGGATGCTGATAATCGCACCATATCTCGTGATCAATTTAGCTACTTTGAGTTTCTCCTGCCTTAGAGGTAATAATGGCATTCTGTCAACCAGTCTTATTATCTTGTAGCAGCGAATTATGCTACATCAAAAAAGTAACATTGAATATTCTTACCATTAAAACTCGAGTGCTCCTGTAGTATTTACTGATGGTGGAAGAAAACTGGGCTAGGAACAGATAAAGCTTGTGGACATGAAATTCCTCTCTATTAGCAAGTTCTGACCAAATTTCTTTCATCAACACTGGAAACATCAGAATATAATTGTAAAATATCACTTTTTCATCCTGAAACAGTCAATCATAACATTATAATCATTGCAAAGGAGCATTATAAAATTAGATTTGGATTTTAAATAGATCCTTTTGTGCTGCGGTTGAAAATAAAAAACTCCATACACACATTTCTCTGACTCAACAGCGAACGAAATAACCAACCAGCAGGCTGACAGTTAAAATTTTGTGGTCGTTGATGAAACGAGGCAAGACTGAGGTGAAACCAAGTCATGCGATTGGTTGCTTGCATCCCTTGTTTTCTCTGCCGCATCTTGATTGGGCCAGGTGATCGACGAGTTAAGTAAAGGCAACGCTTTGGTCACTGCCTACGAGTCGCGTTGACTTTGCAAGGCGATACCCCAGGCAGAGTTCAGCCAATCAGCAAATACCATTCCCCCTCAATATAGTTGCATCATCAGAGCCTACTAAAAAAATCGTTTCCAACAGGCCTAATTTTTGGCATTTTGAAAACGGGTTTCCTTCGTCATTTGGGGTTAAAAAATCTGAAAAATTCTATGAAGCTTAATTTATTCTGTGCTCCCAGAAAAAGAATGTAACAAAATGGGTTCCACTGACCAACACCTCTGATAAAATAATACATTCAATAACTGAAAGATACTTACAGAGCTTGTCAGAAGTGAGAAATCTGTTTCAGAGATGGGTGGTACCTCTAAACTTTTTTCCTTTACAAATTCGTCAAATTTCTGCAGTATTGCCGTCAACCGGGCATACGTATAAAAAACAAAAACAGCACCTGTAATTCAACACACCATATACTAAGTATTACTTATAATAAATATTTATTGTACTGGAATAAGTTCCAAATAATGCTTTAATTTGAGTACTACAATAAAATCATCAAAAGATGAAAACCTGTATGCCCTCGAATTTATCTACCCAATGGACCACTAGACGGGCTAAAATTGTAAGCATTTTCATATAATTATGTTTCTCCTCAAAAATTGAAAAAGATTGAAGTTAATTCCTGACTTAGAAGATAAATGGAAAAATAATTTAAAAATCATTAGAGAAATTGGTGAGAAAAAGTTTTTGTATAATCCTCGTACTATCATTAACTTTCTCAGCTCCAGTAAAGTGATGGACCGCCAAACAAGGCACGAATTTAGACATTTTAATGTATGCTCCTTTGTCTAAATTGTACAGGAAACACACGTAGCATAGTGAAAATTACTAAAATCATCTCTTAACCAAGATATTAACGTTTGTATTCAGTGCTGGTCAGGAACAATAGGAATTCTCCGCTTATAAGAAAAACCAGTGTCTGCCTGAATCAGATCGATCTGTCATACTTTAAAATTTAGAACCAATACCGGCGAATCATGTTTGAGATACAAGATAGAAACTGTTTTGGCATTCATCAGTTCCTCTCTTATCTTCGGTATACCAAAAATCTTACCTTTGGTGGACGGATTTCGAGATGTAATACGATCAGCATCAATGTTCAGATAAACAGGCATACTAAGTTTGGTCGTTAAGAGATCAAAAGATATACAAGCGTCGACGATTCTTGAAATTTTTGAACTATCATCATTCTTAAACTCATCATCTCTCTTGACATCTTTTTCCCTGAGTCTGAAACAAATTTGTAAGATATCGAAATTTTCACAGGCTGCTGGTTGCATTTTGTCTTGATTTTTAAAAGAAGCGAGTAAAAAAAGAAGTGAGAGGGTAATGCTTAGCAATGGGGTTGTTGTGTGAATTTTTTTAAATTCAGTTTCTAAAACTCATAGGTGTGCTGATTATGCTTAAAAGATGACAGAGACAAACCCTCAGTGACAAATAAAAATGAATTACTAGAATGTTTTAGATATTTCAAGAGAGACCATTCAACAATATAAAAAGTAACGTCTGAATAAATGTATGTTAACAGTTTATGATAACTAGTGGGTAAAAATACTTTTGCTGATTCAATTTCAAGGACTACATAGGGAATACTGAGGAAATTGGCGATGGCTGAAATCAAGTATTTTTTTTGGATGTGATGTTCCTTAAGGCCTCCTGAGCACAATGAGCTCTTAAAATGAAACTTTTTACATGCCAATCTTGAGCAAACAGATTTGAAAAATTAATTTGTTGGCATTTTTACATGCAATATATGGTAAAAATGTTGCACCATTTAATGAGTGATTGAGAAGATCTTTCGATTCCTTGCAAACTGGGAAGATGAGTTAGAAGAGAATCAAATTCCTCGACAATATGAGCAAGCAGCTCAGTGTCCTTACACACAGAGCAACAGTCCTACCTCTCCAAAAGCAAAACATATGTTATAGAGCCACAAATGTTACTTTCCAGCCCCACTTTTCTCGGGACCACCACAAGGAAAGTTTGATTTTAAAAGCTCATTGTGCTCAGGAGGTTGTGAGACATATGGTATCAAAGAGTATCAAAATGTGATCAGCGCCGAATTTCCTGGTTTTGTGTCAGTAGTCCTTTCACATTCGATGATAACATTGAGATTGCTTTCGAGGCTATGATGAGTAATTCTAAATTTTGACAGCATCAGTATCAGAGAATATAAACTTTTTTTGAACATCAAAAAGGGAACGGGTGAAGTGAAGCAAATCCAAGCCTGCTTTCCAAAACTACAGTATGCTCACTTCAAGATTCTGTCACCTACAGGTTATCTCTGACAAAGTGATAAAACAAAGAGTATAAAGCACTTTTTGAAGGTGAAAAGGGTCAAAATTTCATCCTTTCCATCCATTTCAAAATGGATTACGTTCTGTTGGCACTAAATTTCAGGAGTATACCACTGAAAAGAAAAGGAATAACTATCACTTACATTTTATAAGCTGCATAACTAATATCTAAGTTTTTCTTGCCATTCAATTGATTTACTTCTGTTCGGCATACAACGTGAATGGTCTGACTACATCTCCGTATCCTGGTCTGATGACTGCATACCAAAATATTCTTTAATTCGCAATCTTCATGCCTCCTATTAGAATTTTCATACACATTTTTCCCAGCTTCAACGAACAAAGAAAAGCTTCTTAAAACATCAGAGCTCAAATACAAGCGATAGAGAGATAGGTGGTCTGATTCTTCAAAGGGTTGGTTCAGATTTGTGATCTACATAAAAACAGTTTGAAACAGACAAAGTTTTTTAATAATTTTTTTGTTTTATCAACGATATTCTTTGAAAATTTTAGGGATGGATCGAATAGAAAGACTGACTGCTTTGGTGGTGTAGTGGTTACGGCAGTTTGCTGGCAGCACTAAAATCCCAAGTTAGATCCCTGGTGATGGCAGGTTCTTAAAGAACACTTAAAAATCTGTCATCGTTGCTGTGAGTGACCATGTCCCTCCAATTTAACTCTGTCTCGTTCCTTAAAGACAACAGGATAGAGGAGGGATATGGTCATCTAGTAGTACTCAACTTAGGTAGTAGACATGGTAAAATACTTTGAATTTGATGACAGAAGATTGTAACCTTGAGAATTTATTTAAAATTGTGTCAAGCAACTTTAAGTGACAAACCTTTTCCTGACAGAGGAATTTGATTCCTTTTTGATGTCCATGTGTTCTCATAAAAATATGAGCTCAGTTCTTTTGGTGTGCGGTACATTGTTGCAACCTCAGACATGTGAGCTAAAATTGGTCTAGGTGTTACCTGAACTGATTTTTGAGAATATTGTGGGAATTACTGTACCTGAAATTTTAATCCAACTGAAAAATTTGCGCCATAAGTTTCTGCACAGTCAGCAACTGTTTCTAATGTTGTTTGAAAAACAATACTTTGGTTTAAGAAAACTTTAAAAATCTTTGAATTATGATCCGTCGTGACATCATCAATCGCCAGAACCTCTGTCTCTGCTTTCCTTGAGATTTCTGCTAGGGTCTGCAACAATGAAAGAAAATAAATATGATCCAGTTTGGGAGAACACAGTTTACTGATCACCTTGGTCGAATTTGTTTTTTAAATGAATTTTTGTTTCTCATTTCAACTATCTTGGCGTCATCTTTTTCAGGGGATAATATTAATAGCATCAATTGATCTTCAACACTAAGTACGTTGCTAGACAATCCAAATTTTCTTCATTTCTTTTTGAAAGTTTTTAAGAACACTTCCATGAAAATTTGAAAGATCACTTTTGATGATGAAGGAATATTTTGTAAAAATTTTGAAATGATTAAACTGATCAGATCCATTACTGAACTGAAGCTGAGGGAGTTAATGATGGTGCAATTTTTGAAACTGTTTTTTCTATTATTGTCCTTTGTGTCGAAGTATCTCTCAAGCTTGCAGTCTATTGAAATTACTTCATCTGCGGAAAATTTCCTCTCTAAATTTATACGACAAATCAAACTTCAACAAAATAAAAGGTACGCTAGATAAACTAATGTTCAAGTAGAAATCAGCATTCAGAGATTAGGAAACCTTCATTATTGTTGCAGCGCCCACCCAGCACTTGGTTTGTCAGTCTGACATGAATAAAGATTCGTTATCCTTTTCCTAACTTTTCTAGCTACCACTTGCTGGACAGGTCTTTGTCAATTGTGTCATGTGAGTAAATGTATTTAGAGTCTGTGCAAAATAAGGTTACGCACTTCTAGACTGCGACAGAAGATTGTCTACGTAAAGTAAATGCAAGAAGCAAAATGGGCAGATCTTTTGTCATAGTCTGAAAGTGCGTAAACTTATTTGGCATGGATTTTAACTGTTGAAAAGCGCTGCTTTAGAGCTAAGCAAGGACTGACTTTTGTCTTGACATACACTGAGCAAATTTTGAGAACATCTGCTTTGCTGTTTTGAATATTTCAACCATTAACAGTGCAGCATACTCATAGATTCTAAGAAAGTGATAGATCCTATAGCACTTACAGGTGGTTTCTGGGTTGCAGAAAAAGGAAAAAGAAGATTTCCAGAGATATGGTCCCTGCTGAGATATTTCCCAGGGTAGCTCTCCTTCTTGCGTCCGAGATGTTCCAAAATAGTGCTGATTGTGTTCTCCAAACAAGAGTTCTCGACACTCGCAAATGAACTCTTCATCTTGTATCTCTAGATTACTGTCTGCATACTAAATAAATCATCTGAGCATAATCCATGGATGCATGGTAGGAATACCAATTGACATGGAGACACTGCTTAAGTAGTAAACAAATTTTACAATTTGATCGGAAACAGCTCCCATCAGCGATGGCTCCGGTAGAAAATTTTGAAAAAAGAAAAAGCTGTGCAGAGTGTAAAATTTCAGGTCGTAAAGAAAACTAACATTTTACCGGAGATAATCATGAGAATTTAAAATAGGAAACACATCTCACATGAAGGAGAAAAACACACACTTCGCTGCGTTGAACATTGGCTGAACACTCAAACAAATTCTAACCTAAAAGTTTACTCATTGCTAAACAGGGTCACTCCTTAAAAAAATTAATATTGCACTAGTATCAGTTAAACATTTATTTTTGTTTCCTGATTGCATGAGTCCTTCATTTCCAATTATCTTCATTTATTACGTGTTTTAAAATATTTATAGAATTTTTAAGCTTTCATTGTCGGACGAAATGTTATTATTTCTTCTTGAATTTTTTAAATTATGGATCTCCTCATCTGATAGACAATTGGCTAACCTGACTATCACATGGTTTTGTTTATTTACAAAAAGTATTTATTTTCAGGTTATGAAGTCAACGATTCAAGAAAAATGTGCCGAAACTGACTTTAATTATACCTAATTATAATTATTTAATCTTCTCACCCACGCAGCGGACTGTTCTTGGTGTGTATTTAATCTTTACTCTACCAGTTATTTACATCTCGTTGATCAATTGAACGCTCATTAGGTCACTCTTACCGCCGGACTCTAAGACGGGCTCGCCTACTCGCAAAGAATTCTTGCTCAAAACCAATACCTCAATCTTTGATTTTACTCTGCCCAAACTCAGAACCCGCAACTCTCCATCGATCAGATGGACCCGCAAAAAGTCATACTAGTTTCAGAGACCAATCTGCAACTTTTCTGTTCCAGAATTGCTTCCGTGGTGAATCACCTATGTCGCTGGCATCTAAAGTCACCCTTGGTCTTGCAGTTGCAGGATGTATTGGAACATTTTTTTACGTGACAGCTACTCAAGAATTAGACAGGTAAAAATTAGTCACTTTTTCTCAGCTGTTCACAGTCCATCCGGTAGCTATTCATTGCCAGCTGTCTCTTTTCCATCAACAAACTGACAAGTGAATCAAATTAACTTACTGTTTCACTTAGGTCAGTATTATAAATATTAATGTATATCACTCAATTTAAATAATGTTCACTGTTTCATTTTTGCACTTAACCCAAAATTTTCCTTCTTTACATGGTGGGCATCACTGGGTGACCTTGGACCAAGGAACCAAACGTGTTCAAACTTGTTCAGTCATGTCTAGCTATGTCTGGCATGGATTGGGTGTAGAGCCCAAGTATGCCCAATGTGTACCTGTCCTGTGATGTACTGTTAATTTCGTCTCAGTCGTTTAAAGTACTTAATTTTTCATTCCCGAATTTTTATCCTCTTTTCCTCTTTATTAAGTGTTAGTGAAACAATGCTCATTTTTCAGAATGAGAATGCATGAAGGAGTATTGCGAGATATAGAAAATCAAAAAAAGAAAAGGCAACTTGCTTCAGAGCAAGAAGCTGGAAATTCGAAAGAAGGATTCTCTTTAGCAAAAACTTAATCAACATAATTCACAATGGTAAGTTATTTAATATTCTCACTTAATGGTCATCAACATTTCCGAACAAGTGACTACAGCTGTTTCGAACTTGCTGAATCAAGCTTTTACAGGTAGTCGAAAGGCCTCTGCCCTTTGGACCCTACATCATCGCTCACTATTTGTTAGGCCACTTACTTTGCTAGTTGCTATACCTGAGCTGTAGCATATTAGAAATTAAAGAAAAAGGAAGATAAAAACTGATGTTGTGCAATGAACGACTGGACAAGATACGAACTAAGCATTCTGATGTATGTTACCTCTTCAAAATTGTATGCAGTTTATGATTTCTGCACTGAAAATTACTGTTATTGATTTGTAACTGAGATATCAATGTTCTTATTCTGCACTAATCCTGAAAAATGTGAATTTCCCCCTCATAAGAGAAATCAGAGTTCACATTAAAATCAAATTGCGCACTACGATAGTTTTTCATGGCTTCTCAACCATACTGAGTCCCTTTTCTGCCCTGCATGATTTAAAGGCTGAAAAGAATGCAACTACCGAAGTGTAGCTTTGAGGTTGAGGTTGCCATATTTTCACTACAGAGACCATTACGATAACATTTAGCGTGAGATTTAACGCAAGTAGATAGTGGTTTTTTTTATGAACGGAACATTTGAATGCATGCATTGGTATCATAGAGTACATAGAGTTGTATTGTAAGTGGACGAGCTGGTGCCACTTTTAAGCATTTTCCTGGTCCCGAATTCCGAGACTCCTGTGTGCCGCCAGGTTACTTTTTCGATATATGGTTGATTGTTTTCGATTCATAGGTACGCGGGCATCTGATGTAAATAGAAGAGATAGGAATTACTATGTATTCCACACTGCCATTTTGGATCGAACATGTCTCGAAAAAGTGACCAAAGCTTTGCGCACACCGGGTTCAGAACTTGTCGAGCAGAACATGGCGCCAGCTCTCCCATTTACATTATGACTCTGTGTAGTCTGTGATAACTATAAGTTGATAACTTAACTTGGAGTTGTTTGGTCTAAGACTATCTTGCAGATTCAGCTGTACAAATTAGCTCACATTACAAGCATATTTTCTCGATAAAATAATCATTTCAGGATGGTTTTCATAAAAAACAATCATAATTATGCAAAAATTTGCCATTCAGTTTTACCTTATTTGTCCATCAATGTAATGACAAGTGGATTCTTTTTCTTTTCTTCCACAGGAGGAAAGTACAGATAGTAGAATGACTGAAATTGAGAATCTTTCTCAGAAATTTGGTGCTTATTGTTTAGAAGATGATACCCCACTGATTCTATCCAGCAAATCCGAAATTGCAGTAAGTACTTATTTTGAAATACTACTCACCATATGCTGGCTGCATCGGTAACTTCCTGGCAGTATGTCTTTTCTAAATCTCTCAAAATTTCTTCTCTAGTAGTGTCGTCAGATAAGTTGGCATTTGTTTATTTTCAGTTTGCAAGCGCAGACGCCAAATTTTGGCCTGTCGTTCGCTACTATCCATCTTGAAAACATCTGTTTCATGATCATATCGTAATTAAACTTCTTATCAATTGTAATCCACGACTTTTATGTGGTTGTGATTTCTGTGTGGCTAAAAATTGCAATGTTATAAAGTTTGAAGGTATTAAAAAACCTATTCGAGCTTGTGTTCTCGCTTCTACAAGATTCAGATTTCAGATTTCTTTTACTAATAAAGAAAATACATAATCCAGTAATCAAGTTAAAGCCACAACAAAAAAAGAGTCAGATGTGTTCATGTGGATAGTAGTGACGCGAAATCGCCTGCCAACCAAAATTAAACAAATGCCAACTTATCTGTATTAATGTTTGCAATAGACATTGGTTAAAAGGCAAAAATACAAATGAAGTCACTCATATAATTTTAACTTCCATTTGATTTGCGTCAAAAATACTTGCTAATGTGACGGTCAGGAGTCAATTATATAGTTTTCTGTTGTGCGTCTAGTTGTCCAGGTAAAATTTTAAAGAGAAACAACCGCGTTTCTTTTTACTTCAGACCTCGTCTTGTGGCACATAGTTTTGTCTCCTTCCTATTTTAGGATAATCTTAGATGCTCATCATGTAATATGTTTCTTCTCCACCTCCAAGGTTGATGCAAAATTAAACTGCAGTCTATTTGACTTTCAAAGGAGAGGAATCCAGCAGATGTTTCAATCTTTCACAAATGGCTCAGGTGCAATAATTAATGATGTCCCAGGCTCAGGGAAAAAGGTTCAGGTTGTCGCCTTCATCTCAGCTCTGATTTCATCCCAACGGCGAACTGAGTCAGGTAACTGTCAAGTTCAGCGAACATCGTATTATTAACTACACAATGTCCAAAAGGTAGTAGCACTAAAATATATTGGTATGTGGAATGTAGCCACACGCTAGAAATAATGCAACATTTTTTGGAAAACTTACATTTTATTGATAAAATTTGACCAAAGCGTTTCGAAGCAAGCGCTTCATCGTCAGGATCTCAAAGTATTAATTACAACGGCCATAACTTAATTTCTGACAGTGGTAACAAGTGATAACAGATGAAAACACTGTCAATAATCACAAGCAACTGCACTATTTGGTTGAGCGAGAATTTGAAACGTACAATGCAGCAATTAAGGTGCGCTAGTTGATGATAGGTGGTAACATAATTATCTGTCAAAGGAAATTTGATTGAGTTCTTCGAAGGATTGGTGTGCCACCCTTCGGCCAAAGCAGACTTGCATGCCATGAGTACTGGGCCATTTAAATATTATGCCTTAAAAGTAGGAACATGAATAAAATTTTCCTCAAATGAGTACCTCCTTGGATTATATCTTTAATTTTTTATCTTTAATTTTCCCTTTCAAACTTATAGGTTTTAGAATAATTAATGAAATCCATGGTGAAACTTGACGAATGCATTGATGGCTAAAGTTGATAAGCATATTTTGCAGATTGCAACATTATAAGTCTCCGTTCTTGTTGAATCTTTCAAAGGGAAACTAACCAATGGTTTTTATTGAAATTTCTTATGAATTCCTTAATTCATTCTATGATAATTACACAAAATTGCAAGGAAAAATTCTAATTTCTTATCTTTTAAGAAAATAAACTTATAATCAGAGATTTTGAAACCATGCTATTGAGCTATGCATATTGCATATTTCTTTTTTAGCCATCAATTTATTTCATTATTCAAAATTTCAGCTCATATTTTGTTTTCTCAAGGTATTTTACCTGACATTTTTACACGAAAGAAAAAGAATATTCATGAACGAATAAAGAATAATCCTACCAAATTTTGCATGTATAATGACAATGATAAATTCCTGATTTCCTTCATAAAGGAACATATCTTCTTTTCACACTTGCAAAATATACTTACATAATTAATTTTTTACACAAACGACAGAGAAATTTCTATCCAAAATTTAGCTAATTTCTTAGGACAATCTATTGAAAATTCTGTGAAAATTTCATTAAAGAAAGTCCGATAATTTTTTAGGAAAAATACTAATTATGTAATGAAATGTGGCATTGTTGAAATGTGTTTACGTTCTTGTTAGGGAAATTTATTATGGATTGTCCTTCAAAAAATGAAATATGAAAGGAAATCTGAAATGTTGCCAAACGTTTATAAATGTGATTTTTCTAGCTCCACCATCAAAATATGTTTTTTTCTCTAAAACTGTGATGTTCTCATTTTCCCTTTCACTGGTTCACAGGTGAATTCTTCTCAGCCAGAGTTTATCCTGCTCTAATTATTTGTCCTAGAGCTAAAATTCATGTATGGGAAAGTCGCATTAAACAGTGGAGCTCTCTGAAGCACTCAGTTTGCTCGGACTTAGATATAAGGTAAGTTCCATCAATTTCATAAAATACCTCAATTTAGCCCTGATTTTCAATGTGGCTAGTTTTATACCATGTTTAACGCAAAAATATGAAATTTATTCACCTCAGGAAAACCAAAGGAAGCATTGCTTTTACAGTTAAACAGGACATCTCGTCACTCTCTGACAAAAATATCACAAGTGCTATCTAGACTATATGTTTCCGGACACTTCAATATTGATTTAATTCTTTCTTTAAAACTTTCGAACGATCTTTCATGACGATATGTATATGTACTCATTGAATTGCCTGAATGTCAGCTTTGTCTGACGGACATTCTGGAGCAATGGTTAAGTGTTTAATGATCGATCGATTTTTCCCCATTTGAAGCTGTGGTAAAGAATCAATTATTACCCTGTTTATTCACCCATAGATTTAAAGATTTAAATAGATTTAAATTTATAGATTTAAATCGCAGATCAACCGATATATTGCAAAGCATGCCACTGCTCTGGAGTCAGTGGAATCAACCGTTTAAACTGCCCCTATAAACTTAGAAGCCCAGTGTTCAGATCAAAAAGTTTTCTATTAGATTACAAACAAATGTTGTAGCATATAAAGTGTTTTTAGGGATTTTACCATCCATGTTTTGAACTTATTTGAAATATTTTGATACTATAACGGACCTAAAATTTGTTTATTCTTCAGCAAGGCAGCAGATTCTACAGATGTAGTTTTGTTTCCATTTGATCTCCTTGCCAAGTCTGTTGTCAATGTGGCTAAACGCAAGTGGACAGTTTTGTTTGTAGATAATATAGAAGTTATCACACTGAAACAGAAGTATGAACTTCTACTGCATCACTTGCCACGAGACCCTCGATTTGGAATATCCTCCAAAATTTTGGTAAGATTTCAATTCATCACATTTTTAGATGGACACTAATCGGCTCATTACATTAGAGATCGCTTTCGCTCAGGCATAGAAAAATTGTTCCAAGTTTCAAAAAGCTCAACAATTTTCATTTGACTGTGGAAGCGGCTCATATCAAACTAGAGGAGAGATAAAAAATTCTCTATAGTATACGCAATCTCATATAATATATTTTAAACTTTGCAGGTACTTTTCGGTTTCAGTGTTTGAGAATCTCAGCTATTATCTCGTTGAATAAGGTACCTAAGTGAATGCCTGCATTTCTTTGAAATTTTCACCGAATATTCTTCATGATTTTACAGTGTCTTAAAGTTAAAATTTGGGAGAAATCACCTTCTATAGTCTATACACTTTTCTAAGATGTAAATTATCGACTGAGATGCTGAAACTCAACAACCGAGAAATTCCTTCTGGATTCCAGTACCACAATTGCAATACAGATAGTTTTTTTCTTCTTCCATTCCCATTGCACCCTTTTGATGGTTTTAAAAGCAGTAGACAACGTCTAGGGGTGGGTAGGTGCCCATGAACGACTCATTTTAATCCCTTGTTTGTTATTGATATCATTGCTCTCTGTCACAGCAAAGGGCATAAAAAGGCATTTTTCCGCATTATTCGTGTAAAGTGTCTCACTGAATGTATTGTCATCTTCCGGCCTAAATATCGAAGCACTATTTACGCTTAGTTGCTACATTGCGGGACATCTTAAAATTGTCCTAATTTTTTCTCTAAAATTAAGTTAAATATTCTTACCTTTTTTCCAGGATGATAGTGAAACTTTGGCAACCATTGTTGGTTGGGCCTCTCCTTCTTACTATGAGCAATTCAAGAGAGACAGATCAAACATCCTCTCGTAAGTTTGATGTCTTTCCCAATTTTACCTTTCTTACCTCGATCTTACCTAATTCTTACCTTTTCTTAAAAAATTAATTAACATAGTGACAGCTCTATCTTCTGCAGTTGAATCTGTAAGCAGCAGATTCAGGAAGGTACCACAAAATAACATATTTAAGTTCAAAAATTATAGCCAATCTGTAAATAACTCACAGGTAAACCTGCAACTAAAACCAGATAAAACTAAAATTTCTAGCTGAGTTTTTTTCCTCTCTTACTAAACTTCGCATTTTGATCCGTCCATTGGTATTGGAGCAAAAATTATACAGGTACTTCTTTTTATAGTACTAGCTATCAATTTGTCACCATGAAGATGTGCCTCCACCTTTACAGGTATTTCTAAGCCTGTTAGATGAACGCTATAAACATGATCTCACTAATTTAGATTTTTTCCTGTTTATTTTTTCAGTCTCATCAAACAATTTGATAGTAAGTCGGGACCAAAAGCGGACCAAATTCGAGGTCTTCATCTGAAAGCAAATCTTTTAAGCTTACGAAATGAAGTCTTCATTAGAAGAGACGGGAGAATTCCTGAAGCCTTGCTGGATATACCAAGGGTACGTATTGCAGCATCGCGCTTGTGGTCTGATGCCCATCGTTGCCAGATAATGCTGAAATATCTAAGTGTCTAAAATCTCAAAATCTAAATTTCTCCCATTTAAATCCATGTAAAATATCTTCATTTCATTGCACAGACTCAGTGTCAAAATATAGTGAAACATTTTTTTTATCTATCCCAGGAAATGCTCTCTTCACTAGAGCTTTGTATGTTTTTCTTTTTTACTGATTTTTTTAAATTTGTTATTTTCCAGCAAAATGCATTGTATTTAGACTTGAAAAAACGTTCCTTAATTAAAGATGAATTACATATCTTTGCTACTATACAGTTTTTAGCTCACTATTTTTTTTATTTAATTGTTTTAGGATGCAGAAGAAGTAGATTTTGATCTCCACCCAAGCACATCTCAAGCCAAGAGAGCTCCTCCAAAAGCTAATAAGAGAAGATCGAATGAAAAAGTCAAACCAAAAGTGAAATCTCCTCGACTCAGTTCAAGAGACAGAGCTCCAACTCATGATAGTAAGTTTTGCTATGTATGTGATTACATGAGGAGTAATATTTAGGAGTTCGAGTATCCCAGGATGGAAAGATGGACCAAGCCATACGAGGAGGGACCCAAAAAAAATGGAATTTTGCTGTAATTTGGCAACAAAGGAAAATATTCGGGTTCCACTGCTAGGAGGTGTAACTAGGAGCGATGAAGGCATTATGCCAAATTTCAACTTCATAGCACACTTTCTTAAATTTTGGCGAAACATGGTTTAAGGGGTTGTCTGACGAGTTCGTTGTTTTTGAAGATGGGTCAATTTCAGTAGCAACACTTAGCGCTCAAGTTTTTCTCTCTTACTCGATGAAAAAACGACCTCCTCTGTGAACATGTTGAAGTGCTGCTTCAAGAGGACAAGCCTCATCAAAAACTTCAGTCTAAGTACAGTTTTTCGTTTTAGAAACGGTGCTGTGTCGCCCGTAACCCCCCGTAAACCCCTGTATGGGTCCAAACCGCCATCGCCATTGGATAGAACCGATGCAAATAATAAAAAAAAATTGCATTTTTGTGAATAAGGGTGGTTATAGATCATTTAAATAACTAGCAAATATCACTGGAATGTAATACAGAAACATTCGAAACATTTCTGTAAAAAAATTTGGCCTGAAACGCGTTGTTGCCGAATTGACACCCCATTTAGCGCTCTGGCCGGTGACTGCCGCTGGGCGACCAGCCAAAGTTCGAACAAGAAATCACACTATAAAACGAAGAAAAACATTTATTCACTCATTTCATGATTGAAACATGTTCCCTGCAAGATTCACTCCAAAAATTGACAGAGTTAGCCGTGTATTGCCCGTGAAAATCACTCATCTTCAAAAACGACGAACTGGTCAGACAACCCCTTAAACCAAGTCTCGCCAAAATAAAAGAAAAAGTGCTACGAAGTTGAAATTTGGCATAGTGACTTTTCATAGTTCCTAGTTACACTTCCTAGCGGTGGAACCCGAATATATTCCATCATTGCCAAGTTACAGCAAAATTCCGGTTTTTTTGGATCCCTCCTCGTAAAAAATTGAAACATGCAGGAAAGGAAAGCTATTGCTATGTTAAATAGGATTCTTTGGGATCAAAGTATCTCTAAAGAAAAAAGAGAATTATTTATAACACTATAATGAAAAGCATTCTGACCTACGGTAGTGAAGTGTGGCCCATGAAAGATCGTACCAAAAAGATTCTTAAGGCAACTGAGATGGATTTCTGGTGAAGATCAGCCGAAATCTCAAGGAGGGATGGGGAGGGAGGAAAGAGTTTGTGAGATCATGAACACCGAGCAGAACATCGTGCATGAAATTATGACCAAACAGCCTGTCTGGTATGGTCATGTTCAACGAATGGCGGATGATAGGTTGCCTAAGAAGGTACTAGATTGGGTTCCTCCTGGGAGAAGACGTAGGGGACATCCAGCAAAATCGTGGGTAGGTGGCATTCAGGATGAAATCACAAGATGCCATTCACCAGATGACCTCTGGATCGATAGGCAAGGATGGCGATTAGGTGTCGCAGAGCGCCCGGGCGCGCTGTAAAGCCACTCGCATGTATGTATGTGATTATATGATGATTAGATCTCATCATTTAAAGAATCTCAACATCCCTTAATCGAAGGTATTATTAGTGATCCTCCTAGGGATTGTTCATTACAATCCAAACAGTAACAATGACCTAACCTCTTTGAATGCAAAACATGAGAATAAATTTATTTGTATTGCTTTTCTGTGATGTAACACCATCAGAATCCATTCCTTGTTTGAAGAAAGTTAACATAGTAAATGGAGGCCTGAGGTCTGCACCTCAATCTGTCGCAAATCGATGGTGTAAGTCAGCAGTTACATAACTTGGTTTGCAACATTGCAGACTTCCTGTCATACTTTGTTTTTTAAACGGAAAACTAATTGACGGCAATTCTTTAAAACTGCCGTGACTTTTCTCCTCTGTGCGAAGAAAATTCTGCAAAAACCTCAAGGATGAATGATGTCATCCTTGAAGTCAATTTGTTCTCCTTTAAAAAAATAACAGGGAGGCGGAGATTTTCAGACACCGCAAACGAGATATGCAATTGCCGACTTACACTGTCAAAATGCAGCTTCAAAATTGTCTGCGAACCGCTGCAGTCTTAATTTTTACCTCACTTCATTCTTATCTATAAAAAATGCAGTAAGGTGCAAGTCTCAGATGCCAAGTATCCTGCATCTGCTTGCCACGTTCAAAATGTCTTATGTCAAGTGACTGCTTGCAAATTTTGTTGCAAAAGTATGTATCGTCAAGAAAACTTTTCCCCCATTTTTTTTTCATCAATTTTTTTTATCTTCAATCTGTATTTTTAGTTTCAGATGATGATGGTGACATCGAGGATAATGATGGTGGTGGAGACCATTCAGCCAGAACTAGACAAGGTTCAGCAACAAATGAGGAAGAAGAAGTTTTTCGTAGACTTCCAAGAAGAACAAGGACAAGGAGCAATGATTTAGAAGCTCTGTCAAATGTTGAGGCAAAGCCAACTACCTCTTCAGAATCCAGTCACAGATCAATGGATAGATCTCCTGAGCCACAGCCTTCCTGTTCAAGATCATCAAAAACAGAAGAGCTAAAGTCTGATCTTGGGCCGTCAAATACATCTGACATCAATCACAATTCAGACTATGATAAACTTGATGCCTTATTCTTCTCTTCAACTAAAGTTTTGAAGTCGCCTAAAAAATCCAGAAAAAGAGCTCCTCCATCACAACAAGAACAAACCAACACAGAGTTTTCTGACACTAGAGAAAGCTCAGATGTTGCTGACACCCAGGCGAGTATGGGTGTTTTCGGAGACTTCCGAACTCAACAATTGGAACTGTTAAATTCGGTATTCCTCAAGACTCCTCCAGTATCAAAACCTCCACCATCAAAATTTAAAAGTTTCACTCAGGCATCACAAAAGACAAAAACTGTTCGTGAGCGTATTGATGGAAAATTATCTGACACAGATAAAGAAGCTACAATTAGTCAGGATTTGGACTCATTCTTTGAAAGTCAAACCAAGAAACCACCTCCTCGGAAACCAGGAGACTCCAAGATCTTTTGTTCTCAGCGACCGGAAGATTTGTTGGACGATATTCTTTTCTCCCAGACTGTTGCGCGGAAAGGTCCTCCAAAGAAAAAGTTCTTCACTCAGTCGGTACGTAGTTCATCATTTCTTTGTAAAATTTCTTATAAAGGAAAACTAATTTTTAGTGTATCAAAACATCGGATTATAAGGAGACTCAGGATTCGTTTGTGAAAAAAAATTTTGAGAACTTACAAGTTTCTGTCATCTTCATAGCTGAAACATAATCTTCTCAATTATTGTACAATCAGGAGATTTAATCTCAACTTAGAAATTTTATTGTCTTCTCGAAGAAAATTAATGATGCACAGTCTTCTCGACATCTTTGTTTCACCAGCTTTTCAAGCACCTATTGCTTTGCATTTTTGTATCTCCTACTTTGTCTTTTTGCCTCGTTATTTTCTTTTCAGAATAAACTAGTCCTTCAGCTAATCTTTTATTATTATTTTTTATCATTTCCTCTTCCTTTCTTATATCATGCTTCCTCTTCTTACTTTTTGCTTTTGCTTAAACCTGCAGGCTCAGAAGGAAATTTTGAATGCAAACTCGCATTTCAGATTTTCAGTCAGTATTTTTGCATTTATGAAAGGATTAGAAACCGCAAATAATTTTTTTATAAAATTTGTCGATTCTAATCTTAGGTCTCGTTTTTACGGATTCAGTGCTCTATTGATGTGTAATATCTTTATCTTAATTGAGGCACTGGGTGTAAGAAGGGCGCTGCCAGGTTGCCTTCTTTCCGAACCTTCATTAAAAATTTATGTTGTAGAAAAGAATCCGGATTTCTTTAGATTTCTCTGATGTATCTTCAATCGGACATACTAGAATTATGCAGAAAATGAAAAAAAAAATTTCAACGAAATATATGCATTTACTTTCCTTACAATGTATGGAAAATGTAATTATGTATTAACCTAACCTAACTCAAGGTTTGGAAACACTGCAACCGAAGAATGCCCTTCTGCACCGAACCTCAATTATGAGTTTTAGACCAGAATTGTAAGATACTTTTATAGACTACCTTAACATAAAATCTTTTCTCATGCCTTCGCTGAACATTCAAATCCCCATGGATAAGTCATTCTAGCGAGTCCAAATCGAGAGATATCTAAAGACTTCTCATACAATATTGGTTACAGTTCTGTATGTAAACTCTCATTCTTTTTTAAAATAAAGATTAACATACGAAAAAAAAAAAATTTCAAGACATTATTTTCACTTTAAGTGTCGTTTCTTGTTGACAAAATTTGTCGTTTTTTATTTAGATCCGTGCTGATTTAACTTAAAGTCAGTTTTTTTTAGTTAAAGAAACAACGCATTTTTAACAAAAAAAAACTGACTAATTTGAAACTGCACGGATTTAACTAAAACAAAAACAATTGTTGTTAACAAGAAACGACGCTTCAAGTCTAAATAATATCTCAAGAAAAAAGTTTTTCAGCGCATTGTGCTCTTAAAAATGCATTTTTTTAAGGTAACTTGGATGCAAGTAGTCTTCAGCGCAATTTACCTCTTCTGTGAAGAGAGAAGCAACTTGGCAAAACTGCAAAGCGACTGTTCCATATAAATTCAGTGGAACTCAACAGCAGTCCTTAATGTTTTTAGTAGTTGTAACTTAGATTATTGGAAAATCTAGAATCTTATTTGCAACCGCCGATTTACATCAAGGGTAGATACGGCTAATTGCACCAAGTTCCGTAGGGTTTTATTCACGCAGTAGATTCCATGTGTCAGTTACATAATCCTGTTTGGATGGTTAAATCCTGTAGATTAGCATTAATCAACAAGATCCATCGAACAATTTATCCATACGATTTTCCAAATCCAATATTTACGTAGATATTGCCCATCCAAAGAACATGGTAACAGACATTATCCACCACAGTTGATGAATTCCTGAAATTTTCATACAAATATATGCATTCTGAAGGAAAAATTAAGACAATTTTGAGACGTCTTGGCAACCTAAGCTTAAAAGGTGCTTGTGAAATCTACTGAGGGTGGAAGGTGACGATGTATACATTTTCAACGGTTGTTCCATGCTAATCATGGATTACATTGGGGTGGAAGAAACCATGCTATTCGCCAGCGCAGGTGCTATTCTATTGTGTCATTCAAAAAGGGTCACACCACAATTAAAACTGGTCCTTGTAACTCAGCGATTGAATGGATCTTCTCCTTTTTTGCTAATTCACAGGATTTAATCACCAGAGCAAGCTTTCATGAATTTTGCAGTTAATTGAGTGCTTTGTGCCCAGAGGCCTCACAATTTGTATAATTTTTGAATTTTATTTACGTCTGTACAGGCTGCACTTTCCGATGCTGGGTCATCTTCAAGGCAACCAATGCAACCAATCAAGAACCAAGCTGTAAAATCGGATCAGAATTCTCCGCTTTTTGATTGATTTATAAATAAATCTATCAATCAATTGGGTATCTAGTCAGACTTTTAAGGGGAAAATTTACACCATCATCTTTTCCAACAATTTTTACCAACTCTTTTAATTTTAATGTATGTGCTAGATTGCATGAGTTTTTACATATCTAATGGTTTTATGGGAGGTTTACAGGCAATTTATTGATACCTTTTTTTTCACTCTAATTTTATAAGGTTTTAAGGTTTAGAACTAGATGTTCTGTGCTTGAGTTTTATTAAATATATCCGCAGGATTTGAAGAATGTACGTCATTAAATCAGGAGTCTTAGTAGTTTGTGTGCGCTATTTTAACCAGAGGAAACTGATTTACCAAATTTGATAATCTACTCCTAATTTGTATAACTTTGTTATTTAGTCATTAATCAATACTTACCGAATTTTTTATTCAAAGGCTTTGGCTCATGTGCTCTTATTACCAATTTTCCAATTCCAGAATTCTGTAGGCATGATGAAAACAAAAAAATACAAGTTCATTTATTTTGAGTGCCTTGCTTGCACTAATTGTATCTCGTATTGACTGGTAACGTACTAAATTTATTTTATCTCTAACAAAGATTTTTCTCATCTCTTATCATTTTGGCACTCTATTTGAAATAAAAAACTCAATTCTTATTCTTTTCGAAGACTGGTCCCGTATTCAGTCCCTTTAATGTCATTTAAGATAGCTCTTACCTACTTCATTTTAATTTAGCAATATACACAATAGGTAATTTAAAATGTATACATTTACCCCTCTGTAACTGGCTTATGTCTTTCCGCCTTGATTCATAACTTTCAATTGAGTTCTTATTTTTTGTTTGTTTTTAGAAGTAGCACCATGTAATATGTTCTCTTTAATTTGTTCAAGAATTCCCTAAGTGGGTTGGATTTCCATTATTTTTGAACTTTTTAAACATAAGTGAAGGTATATTAGTGTAGAAAATGTAATTATTTTTCTGAGTTATTGTAAATTTTTATATTTTTTTAATTAGAAAATTTTTGATGAATTTAAAGGCCATCTTTTTATTTTAAGAATGAAGATTTACTCTCAGAGAAAACCCTGAGGGAAGTTTCCGAAAAGTTTTAATTTCTTTGAAAGATTATTCGTGAGCATGTTATAGTTTCCACTGGTCATCCACCACTATTGCAGTTATCATTATTCAATGGCCGTTTTTAAATCAAAAGGAACCACACCCAATGTGATGTGAGCCTTGTTTTCCATGTATTCAGATTGATCTCATGGCTGAGATGTCTCAGTGGAGATAGTTTCCTTTGATTTAAATGCGTACCTACGTCCAGTTGACTGATATTAGTTGAGAATAAATAAGCGCTGTTTTTAGTTAATGTCAGTGTATTTGTACAGGTATAAACATTGTACAAAATATTATTACAATGTGGGAAGAACTCGTATTTCATAATGAGTACCTAATTAAAAATGAGACAATGAAAAAAGAGGAACAACTTCTGGAAATAATATATGTACCTACTTTTTTGACAGATGGGTTTTCTATGAAAATGAAGCAGTTCTTTTTATGATGCAATAATTGAAACTTCAGAAATGGTTTGAATGGTTAAGAATGACTGGAAAATCATGGCTCTCATCCCTATTTTTTTCTCTTTAATGGAAGTAAGTATGACAATATTTATCTCCATGTAAGTACCTACACGCAACAGTTTACCAGAAATAAGTTAGGAGTTCCCATTGTTCTTTTATGTAACGTGAATTTGTCTCTTGATCTCCACGCATTTTTTTCAACACAGGTGCAAGGCAGATAAAGAATGGTGGTTGCATTTCGTACCCTCTTGACGTCACATGACATTGGGGACGTTTCGGGTACGTCCTGATTGCATGGCAAAGCATGTACCCTCTGCGTGTCACAGCCTTTAAAATGGCGGCTCAACTTGAAATGCAACCACCTTTCTTTATCTGCCTTGACATAGATGGTTTTGCTCAGTAAAACTTTCCATATCCAAAATCAGTTCAGAAGCCTCAAAGTCAACAAGTAAAGGCGATTCCCAAGTGGTTTTGCCTTACTCTTAATAATTATTTCATTCAACATATAGTTTTTTCAACAATTTTTTTTTTTTTTAAATGCACCATTTGCAGGGTCTACTATGTACTCTTTTAGAAAGGAATCAAAGTACAAATATTTTGTTTATCATTTGACAAAAAAATGAGTTCCCTGTGAGAGGGACATAGGCAATTTGCAATGCAAAAAATTGCATTTATTGTAATAAATTTTAATGAGATGAGTTCCTTCTATCAGTGTACCTATAGACAACACACACAACACTTAGGCACAATAGCAATAATTTTACCGTGCAGCATTGCAGTTGATTGCAATCTGTGCCAGTAGGGTATAATTCGTTCGCTGAAAGAAATCTGCATCCTGTAGCTCACTAGTCAAAGATAATAATATGAAATCAATTCCAATTCCTATTGTATAGGAATATTTTTGTTGAAAATTATCTCCATGGTAGCCGTATCTGATTCTAAAGGAGGTATCTCAAGAATCATACGGCAAATTTCTCTCTTCGGACCTAAAGTAGCAGTATAGATATAAGAACTCAGGCCTAAAAACCTAGTTTAATTTTTTTCTTAGTAGGTACCGTTTGATGGGGTCAGTCATTATCAACCGTTGTTATCTGCAACATAGTTGAGATCTGTTCTCCTGAACCATAACTTGCAATGCCGATGTTACTATTTCCATGTCCTCTCTTGTCAACATATCCCTGGAAAGGAATAAACATAATAATTATTTGATATGCTACATGTCCTGAGTTAAACCGAACCCCTGATATTTTAATAGGAGTAACATTTTTACCCAATAAATAAACAAATAAATAGGTGAGTAAAAAGCTGAAAAGAATTATTGGGAAAAAAATCCAAGCTGGGCAATATACCGAACGTGTATGATTACTTAGATCTGATAACGATCCTTGAATCCATTCATGCTGTAGGTATCAGTTACTCGCTTTAACGGGCAGACTGCCTTCAAAATAACGGGTAGGCAAATCTTCCTGCGTAGGAGGAGGTATGGTCACTTTTCCAGCTGAGGCCCAAAATTGGACAAGTTTTCCCCGCTTTGTGCTGTTGCTGATACGAATTTTGTTCTTGTCAAATGACTTAATCGCCTATATACCCCTTGTAAAACTGATCCATTTGTTTCACATTCAAAAGGACGGGAAAATTATCTAATTCAGATGTCTAATGGACTTACTCTCTTTAAATTTTGGCTGCTGAGGCCAAAGATGACCATTATCCTTTTTCGCCCCCACTATCTTTTTTTTTATTATTAATTTATTTATTTATTCGATTTCCTGGAAAATTGGTGAATGATGAAAAAAACCAAGTGGATTTTTGGCTGCAGCAGTCAAAAATAAAAGCGGGTAGGCCGAAAGTAAAAAAAAATTAAAAAAGAATGGCTAACCTAGATATGCCCTCGAGTACTTCATGTATGTGGAGACCCGACTTGGAGCTGGTCTCCATGAATACCGCCTCGCATTCGTCGGCCAGTTTTTGCCCCTGCTCCGTAGGCACGCATGTCGTCCCTCGTATGGCAGCTTTCTCTCGAAGGTCTATCTTATTTCCGCATAGATAGACAGGGATTTGCCCGGCTACCTCCTGAAACAAGGAAACAGCATAGTTGAATTAACGGTTTGGGTTCAGGGCACCGCTGCTCAAAGTGATTAAATGCCCGGGTGCCTTCATTTACCTATAATGCAACACGCGTATACGTCGAGCAGTAATAGTTGCAGAGACGGATCCAGCAATTTGGCAACACCGGATTTCCTCCGTTTGAACCTGTGCTAAGTAATCGATTCTTGTCGGAGCACCTGGCCCCTCCAAGAATCGATACATTTTCATAGGTTTAAATGGACGAAATCCGGTGTTGCCAAGTTGCTGCATCCGCCAATGAATAGTTGCCATCGAACTCGGCGCCACTAACATCGTCGCCTATCCCAAGTAGCAGTGATCGTGACAATAGCGATTTTATAGGTTGATTATCGCGATTATATCGGTGCCAATCTATCAAAATATTATCTGGCGATTAAATTGTTATGCATCGCAACATTTTGCTCGATAAAATCGCGATCAATATTCATCGATAAAATCGAGATTAAATTGCCATATACCTACCCCGATTTTTATTTCGATCATATCGCGATAAATTGCCGGGCGATAAAATCGCGATTTTGTTGCAACTAGATCGAGGATAATCGCTCAGATGTTGATGTTCCTAGCGATGTTATCGCCGATAAATTGCAATATATCCCGATTTTTCCGTTGAAAAATGCTACTTGGATAACAACGTCGCCTATAGAGAGATGAAAAATTCACTATTCACAATCGATGAATCAATTGGAATCAGTTCGACATCACTTGGACTACATTTTGCAATTCGAAACCATAATCTCTAGCTCACCTTGAAAACAACGTATGTACTATTAGTTTCTCTATAGGCGTAATATGCGGTTTTACGGATGAGCCAGAAACTGTAGTTTCTGATTGAAAAATGAAGTCCATTTTACATTCTTTTGGCGAATTTCATTTCGCAGAAAGGAATTGCAATTTCTGATTCATCTATAAAAACACGCATGTGCTAATAGGGGAACTAATGATACATACGTTGTTGGTAAACTGAGCCAGAAATTGTAGTTCCTTCCAGGCCCGGACTTAAGGCGTGTGCAGGGCGTGCGGCGCACACGGACGCCAGCCTTTGGGGGGCGCCACGAAAGAAGAAGAGAGGGGGAAAAAGGGGGAAAAGGAAAAGGAAAAAAGGGAAGAAAGGACAAGGGGAAAAAAGGAAAAGGAAACAAGGTTGGGCAGTGAAAGCAAGGAAGAAGGGGGGAAATGGAAGGAAAAAGGAGGCAAGAAAAGTGAAAAGAGAGTCCGCGAGAAAGGGGGGGGGGCAAAAAAACCATAGAAAAAATATAAAGAGAATTGCCGTCTAAAGGTAAATTTTCAGGACAAAAACTCCACCTGGTCCATAGACGGTCAGGCGCCCCTTGACCTTAAATTTGCGGCTGTACAGAAATACAAGAGTAGGCATGTAGTAAAGGGGCGCCATAAATCCATCGAACAGGAGCCGACATAGCATTTTAGGCCACGTCCGCCATCTTGAATTTGAGAATTTTCAAAAATCGACTAAAAATTCGAGTTTCCCGTCGGAAAGTACCCCTGATTCCGCGGTTCACAAAGCTCTAACGAACAGAAACGGAGGCCAGAACCGGGGCTCATTTTAGGCCACATCCAACATTTTGGAGTTGAAAATTTTAAAAAGTTGACTAAAAATTCGAGTTTTCCGTTGAAAAATACCGTGTGATACCGCGTTTCACAAGACTCGAACAAACAGAAACCGAGATAGCATTTTAGCCCACGTCCGCCATTTTGAATTTGAGAATTTTTAAAAAATGGACTAAAAATTCGAGTTTCCTGTCGAAAAATACCTCTTAACACCGAATTTCAGAAAAACCCATCAAACAGGGGCCGAGATAGCATTTTAAGCCATTTCGGATTTTCGAATTTCGAGTTTTTTAAATTTTGACAGATTTTTATTTAAAACGCGTGATCCCCAAAATCGAAGCTCAGATTCGGATTCCTCGTAAAAAATCGATGCGATTTCATGTATCATACCCTGACACCGAATTTCAGGAGAATCCATCAACCAGGAGCCGAGATGACATTTTAAGCCACGTCAGTCATTTCAGATTTTCGAATTTGGAAAATTTGACTTAAAACGCGTGATATCCAAAATCGAAGTTCAGATTCGGATTCCTCATTAAAAATTGATACAATTTCATGTATCATACTCGAGCATAGCGTGAAGGAAAGAGACGTAACGTAGACATACTGATTCGAGCATATGAATGCAACGTGGCAACATGGGTGGTGCTCAGTGGGTCAGCGGAGGAGGAAGAATAAGAATTTATCGTGAGGAATTCCTCGGGACGAAAACGAACGCTTGTTCGAATGTTAGCGCCGCGGCGGCGTAGTTCAAAGGGGCGGTATAACAGAATCTATACGCGTCGTTAAACCTTTTTCCTTCACGCTATTCTAACATATGATACATGAAATCTCATCAATTTTTCACAAGGACTTCGAATCTGAGCTTAGATTTTGGATATTACGCGTTTTAATCTATTTAAAATCGTAGGAGAAATTACAGAATTGTCCTTGAAAATTGATCACACATTAGTGTTTTTATACGTCCATTAAGCCTCTTCCCTTCACGCTATTCTAACATATGATGCATGAAATCTCATCAGTTTTTCACGAGGAATCCGAAACTGAGCTTAGATTTTGGATATTACGCGTTTTAATCTATTTAAAATCGTAGGAGAAATTACAGAATTGTCCTTGAAAATTGATCACACATTAGTGATTTTTTACCCCGTTTTTCTTCTACGTTCACGTAATGAAATTAGATCACCCTGGTAAAAAAGACGACTATGCTGCAAATACACAGCATAGTCGGGTGCATATGTATGAAGTCGCAGTGTAGTCACATGGTTGTCAAGGGTAGTTATCAGTAGGCGCAGTGTATTCGCAAGGTAGTTGCAAGGTGGTCACCAGTTAGTAGTCGCCATGAATGTGTAGTTGCAGAGCAATAGTGGGTATCCGCAAGCATAAGGTGCATATCGACGGTGAAACTACCAAACCACGTATCTCGTTTGCGGTGTTTAAAAATCTTCGCTCGCATTTTATTTTTTTGAAGTAGACCAAATCAATATCATTCCTTGAAATTTTCACAGAATTTTCTCCGCACGAAGAGGAAAAATCACAGCAATTTTCAAGACTGGACGTCGAGTAGTTTTTTATTTAAAAAATAAAGTATGGCAGGAAGTCTGCGACGTCGCAAACCGAGATACGTGGTTTGGTAGTTTCACCGTCGATATGTTTATGTACCTACCTTTACTCGTGTAGTCGTGCGACTACCTGAGGGCGTTCCATTTACGTACCCTCCTAGTCACAGGGATAGTCTTCTTTTTTACCAGGGCAACAGTCGACTCATCGACTAGTCTAGCCTATAACCCCCCAAAATCGGTCTAAAGGGCGAACGATTTTATCAGATAAGATGTGCGGTCCTAGTTTCCGGGCAATTGCGGTTTGATGGAAGCTGCGATGAGGAGAAACGGAAGATATGCGAAACTCGGGCGGATATTAAGTGAGAAACCAGGTAGGGGAAAGGCTTTCTTCCCGAAAAGTTAGTGCTCGGGCCAACTTACATGGTCACTGAAGCATTGTATAGCAGGTTGTGGGAAACTATTTTTTTGCAGCAACAACCAATTGGATCGCATTTTGCAAAAAGGAACTAAGAGCATTTCAATGTTGCTAGGATTGTGCAACTTAGGTACCTACATTCTTTGCAAAAAGTAAACTTTGCGACGGTAATTTTCGTCTTGAATTCATAGTTTATTGGGAGTAGAGGTGAAACTAGTTTAGATGATCGTTTATGTTTGCAAGGTTAGCGACATTGGAATGCTCTTTCCTTCAAGTCACATTTTGCTTAGATGAAGGATTTTGATTAAGAAGTGATTTTTTGCATTAAATTGCATTTTCGGTTAGAGACGTGTACATTCGGCTGTGTTGCTTAAGTAGCCCTTGAATCACCACTACAAATAAGCAAACGGAACCACCATATCATGGAGATATAGAGCAAGGGAAAGGACGCGCGTTGATGATGGCGCAGAGATACAACTATTCTTGCTCGATGGATGTCCGTGTTGCATCTGCAAAATTGAAGGCGCGATGGCGCGAGACGTGAACTCGCAATGCTTCGTTTCATGCTGCCAATGAGGCGTGGCTCAGGTGCATAAAAAGGTTGAAAAGAGAGGCCATAATACGTCTCTTCTATCTTCGACTGTGTTGACACTTGTTTTTCTTTTTCTTTTTTCAGTTTACTGTTTCATTTCTTTTAATCCCCATAGCTAAAGCTCCTATGTGCCGGCCCTGTAACTCCTCCAGAAGAATTAGTCGGGTTAATTTGAACCAGCTTAGGATTGCTAAGGGTGATTGTCAAAAAAATTCCCCGACACCCAATTTTAATGTTCTTTTTTTTCAATTTGATGTTTGATAATTTTTTTTAGCGTATATTTGTATTGTAAACCTGTATCCAAAGCTCGTATGTACCGGCATCATGACTTCCTCAGAAACGACAGTCGGGTCAATTCGACCCGAAATTCGACCCATGCATCTAAAGGTTAATGTTAGTAGGTCGATTTTAGTAAGAGCTGTCCAATTCATGTAGGGAATTCGAAAAATTTTTGGTTTCCCTTTCAAATAATTTTTAGCAATGGCCAGTAGCACTTTGTGTGTAGGGCTTTTGGGATTAAAGCTCCTTCATTCGCTATTCTCAAAAAAAAAAAAAAAAATTATCTACTGCAGCTCTGTGATTGACTATTCATCTATTTCGAAATGGAAACTACCTCTACATGGATTGTTTCTACTCAGTGTCACCCAATTTGCGAATGCTAAAATGAATCCGGTCCTTCAGTTCTCGAATGCGCTCTTCAAATTATGAAAAGCTCGGAGCGTTTGCATGATATTGGGGTCAATTAGAGAGGTTCAACTTACCCTGACTGATTGTATCCACAGGCGCACATTGATAAATGATCTTTCATTCGTCACATCGTAGAGCAATACAACTCCGTCCGCTCGCCTGAAGTAGTTTTTCGTCATCGAACGAAATCTCTCTTGTCCTACAAGAATAACAAAATTCCATCTGATATTGTATACATGGAAATGTAATTTTAACTCTAATTTTAACTTTAGAAGAAAATGGATGCCAGGTGGGGCAGTCCCTTGGGGGTTGGTTTCCGTTGATACGAAGTGGGGCAGCCCCCCGGGGGTTGGTATCCGTGGGTACCAGGTGGGGCAGCTCCTTGGGGGTTGGTCTTCGTTGATGCCAGATGGGGCAGCCCCTCGGGGGTTGGTGTGCTTGGATGCCAGGTGGGCCAGCCGGGGGGGGGGGGGGTTTCTTGGACACAAGGCGGGGCGGCCGGACTGGAGACAGCAGAACGCATCAGATCTGGTGGTGCCTTCAAATGACGATGATGCTTTACCACAATACAGTGAAGTTATAGTATTTGTATCATCATCTAAATCACGGCGTTTTGACGCGTGTTCACTATATGATATGATGTAATGACTGATAAGTGCTCACTGGAAAAAATACACATTGGATCTAGAGTCCAGACTCTTAAAAACATCGACAAGAAAAAGTACTCTTGATTCAATCAGAATCTAGCTTAAATCAAGAACCAAGCCTCTTAATTTAAGCGGATTTCATTTTGATTCAAGCAAAAATTCGATTGAATCAAGAGTATTTTTTCTTGTCAATGTTTTCAAGAGTCGGGACTCTAGATCCAATGTGTTTTTTTTTCCAGTGCTCCGAGTTTATTTTTTTATTTTTTTAATGCCTCCGATTAAATTTCTTCAAGGAAACTAGCTGGCATTTTCTCTTGAAATTTTTATCCGAAGGCTAGGGTTATTTGGACATATTTCTGTCAAACGGAACTATGTGCAATGAGACATGATCCTTGAGATCCATAAGAATGTATGCATAACAAGGCTCATGTCACAATGCACATAGTTCCGTTTGGCAGAAATACGTCCATTTTGCGTTTTACTTCCCGTATAAACCAAACAAGTATTGAAATTTCTCTCTGTGCAAGCGATACATCTATTCTGCCGTGCTAAGGAAAAACGCCGTATGAACCTTCAGGCGTTGCCAAATTCCCTTTGATAAAACGCGAATTTCCTGGTAAATTTTTGTATGTTTATCTTCCAATTTTTTAGATAACTTTGCTCGCAATTTCACCTAAAGTTCCGGAAAATCTCGAGGAAAAATAGACCGCGTTAAACAGAACGTAACCAAGCCACATCAGCTATTGCCAAATTTAATCGGGCAATTTAATTATTTACATGAAAACGATTGTGCGGATTTTTTTGCAAATTTCTATGAATTTTCTCCATAGTACAAAGCAAATTCTTTAAAATTTTCAAAGGATTCCGCAAAAACGTTCCCTCGTAAAGAATCAAATTCCCCTGTTGAAATTTGGCAAGAGCTGATGTGGCTTGGTTCCTTTCTGTTTAACTCGGTCCAAATGTTCATGACTTTCCTAAAAAAAAAAAAAAATCATATTAACGAAGGAAATTTGGCAACTCTTAAATGTTCATACGGCGTTCTTCTTTAGCACGGCAGTATCTCTGTTGGTACGCACCGGCGGTATCCCAGAGCTGAAGGGCGACGTTCTTGTCGCCGACCTTGATGGACTTGACCTTGAAGTCGACGCCGAGGGTGGAGCTGAGCCGGGTGGTGAAGACGCCCTTGCTGAAGCGGTGGATGAAGCAGCTCTTGCCGACGGCTGCGTCGCCGGCAAAGACGACTTTGAACGTCCGGTCGGGCTCGCCGAGCTGCTCGAAGCTGCTCATGGTCGTGGCGATGCTCGGCCGGTGCGAGAGGGTCGTCGCGATGCTCAGCCGGTGCATCGTGTCCGCCTGCGACCCCCGCCGGAACGGGCCCAGGAACAGGTTGTTGTGGTAGTCGTCCAGGTACTGCTGCTCCTGAAAGAACCCCGAACTAGAGTACCTGTATAGGGAGAGTAGCGACAGATCTGAAACTCCGAAAGTCCATCAGGCCTTCACCGATGCCTCCGTGAATAAAGTTAGGGCCCAAAAGGGCAGCCAACCTATGAATTTCGAATGTCCAGAGCGATTTACAAATACAATTGTTACGAACCGTCGTTTAGAAAGCATGTATTTGGCTTACTTTTTGCATAAATTCACTTATTTTTGCGAAAGAACGCTCATTTATGTACATTCTTAGCCATCTTGGTTAGAATTGAAATCTGTAGGCTGGCAGTGAAATTTTGTGTGTTAGAAGTTGCTCAGAAGGGTGGCTGCACTTTTGGGCCCTAAGCCCTCCATGAACCGATCTGTCGCTACTCTCCCTATACAGGTACTCTACTCTAGTCTAAGGGTGGCTTCACGATAACTTTAATAGTTTTGTCGCCGTAGACAACACATTTTTCGGTCATATTTGGACCGCGTTAAACAGAAAGGAACCAAGCCACATCAGCTTTTGCCAAATTTAATCGGGCAAGTTAATTTTTTTCATGAAAACGGTTGTGCGGATTTTCGTGCAAATTTCAGTGAAAATTCTCCGTAGTACGAAGCAAATTCCTTGAAAATTTCAAAGGAATCCGCACAAACGATCTCTCGTAAAAAATTAAATTGCCCAGTTAAATTTGGCAATAGCAGATGTGGCTTGGTTCCTTTCTGTTAAACTCGGTCCATTTCTAGTAAAATCACTAAATGCAAAAAGGTCACATGTCCAGAAAACCAAATTGTCCAGGAGGCACAAAAAACCGTTTATTGTGTCTCCTGAACAATTTGGTTTTCTGGACATGTGCCCTTTTTGTATTCAGTGATTCAGCAGAAATTATGATCACTCGAATTTCTTCGTATTAACCTTCAAAGGCTACGTATTATAACGCTCTCTAATGATTTATTACTCTACTTCTCAATTAATATATGTAAATTCCGAAAATGTGCTGTCTGTTACCTACGCGGTAAAACGTCAGCGTAATAGACAGCACATTTTCGGTCAGTCAAATATTAAAATTGAAAAGTAGAGCGATAAATCTTTGAAAAGCGTTATAACACGTAACTCTGTGTAGATTAATGCAAAAAAAATCGAGTGATTATCATTACTACTAAAAATATGACCGAAAAATGTGTTGTCTGTTACGGCGACAAAACTATTCCAGTTATCGTGAAACCACCTCTAAGAACTTGGTCTTTTAGACCTGAGGTTTATCGAATTCAGATGGAATCCTGCTATTTCCAGTAAAAAGGGAAAAATTAGAGGATAAAGTGACTTGATTCAAACAGAAACAAGATCACATTTACCGCCGAGATTTCCTTTTGAATCAAGAAAGAAAATAATGCTTGTTCAGAGCAGAAAAGATGATTGTGTAAAAAGAAAAATCACTTACATCAAGCAAAACCCCGCTTTCATTCAGCGATTTAATTCTTGCTTCAAAATAAAATCCTCTTGACGGCATACTCAAGAATGTTTCTGCCTTAATCAGATCACTTTTTTCTCTAATGAAATTCAAAAATTTGCTAAACGTTATTAAATGCGGATGCTAGGACTCAGTGAGTTTTTGGACTACCGCTCTCTTTTTGTGCCGTTGTATCTTGATTTATTTTGTAAGGAAAGCTCCGTACTTTCAAAGAATGCCTGTCGTTCTTAATATGTTGGAGCGCCTTCAATTACGGATGATACTGTGCAACACCTCTGTTGTGAAATAGTTGCTTGAGGCGCCGTGGCGCGTGGCACGCTGCGGCACGGCGCGGCGCGGCGGCCGGCCGGCCAGCGCCTACAAACCTAAGGGGATACTTCAAGCGTTGCGCAATGCGTGAAGTATCCCCTTAGGTTTGTAGGTGCCAGTACGCGTTCCGCGCTGGCAGCACGCCGCGCCATTCCGCTCTGTAATAGGAATAGGCTCTAATATTTAAACTCGCTGAGTCAGCGTTTTTCTACTCATGATATGTTCGCACACTCTACATGGATTATTCTCATTTAAATTGATGCAAAAAAAAAAAAAAAAAAAAAAAAAAAAAAAACCATGTATGTAAGGAAAATACAATGTGAGTTTTGTAAATATAAGATGGTTCGGTGTCAAAAATGACTTCCAAAGCGCTTAAATTTTATCTTTTATATGTTGTGCTTTCACTGTGCTGTAGCGTGGTGTACGCGCAACCAAACGCTCAATATTGGACGTATTTGACCCTAAAAGATCGACTTTCAAATTAGTTAAAACCAAAGGTTGCATGCTTCTTGTTTTTTTCCCCTCTTTTAAATATATTCATTTTTGTATAGTTCCTCTCAACACAACTACGGCTCATTGAAATTAATATCGATGCCATCGCTTCGAAAAGATTTTAAATATATGCGCCACGTTTTAAAAATTTACATGTTTTTAAATTGAAGTAATATTTTCATTTTTGCGCGCGGACAAAAAATCGTTGACGGAATGCCCTGAAACCGTTCATAGGGACGGCTCCTATAACCAAAGGATAGTCACGCCACTGGAGACAGTGCTCACTGGTACAGACTAGTATTATGAGGCTGTCAAAGAATCTAGACTCTAGCTTACATTCTTGGAGGGGAAGTCAATTTCGGTGAGACTGTTGGGCTCCTCCGGGAAAGACTTCTGGTCGCTGTCGTCTGTGTTGTCACGTAAAGTAGAGCGGCCGCTGTCTGATCAACAAAAAGAGAGGAGTTATAACATCAAGAAGGAACTGGTGAGTATGTTTCAATATCAAGCACACAAAAAATATTTGTAGTTTAATAGATTTCTGAACGCTAAAATGCAGTCAAGAGGAGTACATATACTCATCTTAAAAAAGTCTGGAATTCACCCCTCAATATACAGTCTATGTAATCCGTTCCTGGAGTATTTTCGAATTTACGGTGTTCTTGAGCGCTTTTTATTTCCTTGTTAGCAACAAAGTTTTCCCCGGTAGAAATGTAAAAAGAGCTATAGCCTAAAAATATAACGATCTCACAAACCGTTAAATATCTTTCACGTCTACCATTTTTTCTATCATTTTGAAGCATTATTTTTCTCTTAATGCGGAAAAAGAAAAGAAAATGGTTTAAAAAAAGGAGAGAAAATAGAAATCATACCTGTCAAATGTCAAAAACCGTTCGTGAGATTGTTCGTGGAATTTATCGTTAACTCTAATGTGAAGCAGATCCGTTCACCATATCTATTGGAACGTGGAATTAAAAAAATTGACTAAAATAAATACTAAACTAACAACTCAATATGGGGAAAAGGCTGCAAGGGAAAAATATTTTTTTATTTTTTTTTTGCAGCCTTTTCCCCAAATTAAGTTGTTATTTAATTATGTGAATTTTGGCTGATTAAGTTGTTTTTCATAAAAATAAATACTCTGGTTATTTTACCTATATCGTCCATAAGCCTTTGAATTACAAAGTGTGCACCGTTCTGCTCTTGATCGTAGTTATAGTATGTTTGATCCTCAAGCCTTTCTAAATTTTCTGCTTGCCTGGAATGGGAAAGGGAATGGCTTAGAAATCGTGACACTTAAAAAATTAGCCCTCATATAAACCGCCTAACAAGCTTAAATCTCCTAATATAAATTGACTTTCTCTTTAACGCAAATGCGTCAAAATGATGTAGCACTCTACGAGTCAACCAAGTCAGTCGACAGAGGATTAAGACATATTAGAAAATCAACTCAGCGCGCCTTCAAATTCAGAAGGTAGGCCCAAAAAAGCACCGTAATGCACGAATAGTTATCTCAGCAGCGCCTTCCTTTACATCTGAGTTCTTTTTATCTCTTCTCTATATCTCTTTACTTTATCGCTTCTCTTTATATCGTGAGAAACCGAGTATGTCAATTTGCGAAATTGTAGACTTTCTGTTATACTTTATTTTTTCTTTAGAAAACTAGTCGCCGGGATCTCTTGAAAATTTCTTTGAATTTTTTTCTCTGTCAGCAAAATATATTCTATAAAAATTTCAAGTCATAAAGTTGATTTGTTTCTCCTTGGAAAAATAAAATGGGATCGGAAATTCTAAAACACCGCAATGGAGATACGTGGTTTCATAATTCAGCCATTGATCCTTCTCTTAATCTCTTCACGGAAAATAAAGTAGCACAATCCCAACTATACTCCTAGCTGCTTTTGGCGCCAGATATAAGAGTAGTTGCACTACCGAGAGGTATGCTTGATTAAATGACACTTTCGGTAGACTCAACCGCGCCTCTGACTGGTGCCACTACTCTATTATCTGGCGCCAAAATCAGTCAGGAGTATAGTTGAGATTGCGTGATGCTTCTTTTTCCGTGTTCCAATCAATGGGATTTCTTCCGACGGGCAAATACGTCCAAGTAATATTGCAAGTCGCGACTTTTAGTCGTCCGAGGTCAGTCAACAGAAGCCCAATAACTTTTAAGAAATCAATTCATCGCGCCTACAAAATCAGGAGATAGGCCAAACACAGCACCGTTACGCACGAATAGTTATCTCCGCTGTGCCCTCCTATACCTTTCTGGTATCGAAGAAGGACATCTCATGCATTAACTTCATCGTCGATGTCCTCAATACTGCCGTGCTAAGAAAAAACGCCGCATAAGCCCTCAGACGTTGCCAAACTTCCTCTGACGAATCATGAGTACCTGGGGAAATTAATTTGTGAGTATTTTTCTTTCAATTTTTCAGAGAATGGACCACCAGGCAAGGTACAAATTAAAGGATTCTGATACATATTTCTTAACCAAAATTTCACGCAAAACACGATTCGTGCAACGAAAATGACTGAAACCAACTTCTAACGAAGATATCAACGGTTTTTTTTCACATTGGTTACAAGGAATTTGAACTGTCCGCTGACAAAAAACTCAAAGCTCTACGTGAGTCAAATCGCGCACTACAACGGTTTCAGCGCAGGCTTCTCAATCGAGCAATGTTCATTTCCCACCATGTGTTGTTCAAACTATAAGCAATTTGCTATAGCTGAGCCAAAACGTCAAGATTGAGGTTGCCAGATTTTTATATCGCAGAGACTGTCATGATAAACGTTTAGCGCGCGATGTGAATCACGTAGAGCATTGAGTTTTCATGAACGGGTGGTTTGAATTCACGCATCAAGAATTATTGAATACCTTCGTAAGGATATGATTTTGGTAATTTCCGTTGTGCGCATCGTGTTCTACGTGAAATTTTGGTTAAGAAGCATTTATGAGAATGCTGAAATTCGTACCTTGTCTAGTGGTCCATTTGGTTCGTAATTTGATCTGAAGTGTCTAAAAATGTCAATGAAAAATATTCAAAAATTTGCTCCCAGTTGGGAGGACTGACCTTTTGAGTCTTGCCGCTTCTTGGGCGGAGACGGCGGAATCGGAGCTGGCCTGGCTGGGGGCCCGACTGCTGCAGAACGGCGATGCCGGCCGCGAAGCGTGCACCTTCCGGGGGTCGTCCACCACGAAAAGGAGACTGTCGTTCGTGTCCTGCAGCTTTTGGTTCGTATCGCTAGAATCAGTCACGCAGGTCAATCGGACAATGTTTTGCAATTAGGAATGAAAATTTCCGGCTCATTTTAGAGACAGCATATCGACGGTAAAACTACCAAACCACGTATCTCGTTTGCGGTGTTTGAAAATCTACGCTCACATTTTATTTTTTTTGAAGTAGACCAAATCAATATCATTCCTTGAAATTTTCACAGAATTTTCTCCGCACGAAGAGGAAAAATCACAGAAATTTTCAAGACTGGACGTTGAGTAGTTTTTCATTTAAAAAATAAAGTATGACAGGAAGTCTGCGACGTCGCAAACCGAGATACGTGGTTTGGTAGTTTCACCGTCGATATGTGCCATAAGTTTCCCAATGCAGGTCGTTTCTTTTATGGATGAGCCTGAAATTGAAGTTCCTACATGCAAAATGAGGTCCTATGTTTAATGGCTTATTTGGAGGAGGTTGAGACCGCCAAGAGTCAAGTTCGAGAAATCGTGAAAAAACTTGATTCTTTCGACAATTGAAGGGCTTGGAGAACAAGAAGCATGAGTTCTGTTTTCTTCTTTTTTTTAAAAAAAAAAAAAAAAAAAAAAAAAAAATTGAAATATTAATTATTTCAGTATAAAATTAGTTTTAAAATATATTCTGTAAACCACTGAAATTCCAATTTTTAAGCACCAAAATGAGAGTTTGAACTTTCTTTTCGCCACAAGGCTCCATGTAATTTTGCAACTTTAAACATGTATTTCTTGAAATTTTAAATTAAAGCAAAGTGATAGCCTTGTCGACAAATATGCTCAGATAATCGAGGAGGATAATAAAGCGAATTAAGTAATATAGATATCACAAATGTGAAGGGGAAAAAATTAAATTTTTATCTTACTGAAGTAGTTGGAGTTGCTTTTGAAAGTAGTCTGTTTCGTTTTTGAACTGTTGTGCAGATTCTTGCTGGCTGGAATGAAACAAAAGTTAATATATTTATCAGTAAAATACTTCTGAAAACATGAATATCTTACAATGAGAATAGAATAGGAAAGGGAAAAATTATGTAATCAATAAAAAGATCATTATTCTCCAAAATGTTAGTTATGGCTACGTCCAGACAGAGACAATTTTTCTCCCGTTTCATTCTCAAAATCTTAATAAAGAGACGCATTCACTCTCACACTAGCTGCGTATAGATATTCCGTCTTTACTCATACAAATAGACATAATTACATTATTCTTCCATAAGTCAAAATTGCCTGAATTTTCGTAGCATTTAAGGTGAACATTAATCGAGGGGCTTAGAGGACAAGGCGCTTAAGTACATTTTTTGAAAAAATTGAGATTAGTGGCGAGGCGTGAATGATCGATTATATTTTCCCATTTGTAGCTGTGGTAAGTAGTCGATTATTGAGGTGTTCGTCGCGAGCACCCTGTTTATCGATCCTTTTCCTTAGGTTTAAATAGCAGATCAATCGATGTATCGCAAAGCACGCCACGTCACTGGAAAGTAAAACTAGTCTGAATGCATATTCTGTGAAAAATCCGCTTCCAAATTCTAATTTTTAAGCATCAAAAAGTAGGTTTGAACTTTCTCTCCGCCATAAGGATCCATGTAATTTTGAAACTTCAAACTCGTATATCTCATCAAAAACTGCACTTATGCGCCTTGTCCTCCAAGCCTTTCAAGTCATATCACAACGTGGATTCGCTTGTTCAGTTACGCCTCCTTCTGAAAATACAATCAGTACTTATTATTAACTGACCTACCAATTATAAATTGGATTGCATTTTGCAAAAAGGAACCACTAGCATTGCAATGTTGCTAAGATTGTGCAACTTCTTTTGTCTTGGAGGAAAAACCCAATTATCCATTAATAGTTTCTATTTTATTCGCTAAAAACTGTGAATTTAAGACAAAAATTACCATCTAAATTTCATAGTTTCTCACGATTTCCGCAATTTTATTGCAAAGGATGAAGTTGCACAATCTTAGCATCATTGCAATGCTAGTGGTTCCTTTTTGCAAAATGCAATCCAATTGGTTCTTGCGATTAACTTTTCAAAAGTATCGAAGGAACCGGGGCGGGGGATCTGGGCCGGATTCAGGGATGGCCACATGGGCCGCGGAACATGGCGGCAAATTTTGCTATTTTTTTAAATGTAGGTATAAAAAGAAAATCAAATTAAAAAAAAATAATTACAGACGAGAAAAGGCGACAAAATATCTCATTTCCTGAGAGTATAGTAATTTCTAATTTTGTCGTCTTTCGGTGGTACAAGAGACAGCACTTTCAATTAGTCGAGTTAAGAGAGAAACCAAACACGCAGTTTGGCATGGAGCGGCGCGGCGCAAAGAGCAATAATGACGAGGACTTGAGATGAAAAGGAGAACCCCTCAGCGCGTCGGCATGTAACACATATTAGCGCCTACAAGACTGCATGAATACTTCACGCATTGCGTCAAACACAGTGCGGTCAGCAGCGGCCGACGTGAAACGCACAGCGCCTACTAGACTGCATGAATACTTCACGCATTACGTCAAAAACAGTGCGGTCAGCGTGAAACGCATAGCGCTTACTAGACTTTGTGAGTACTTCACGCATTGCGTCAAATACAGTGCGTTCAGCAGCGGTCGGCATGAAACGCATAGCGCCTGCAAGACTGTAGGAATATTTCACGCATGGCGCCAAACACAGTGCGGTCAGCGCGGCGGCGGAAGTTAAAATTAATAAACCACATTTATGTTTGTTCTTGCATAATTCTTACGCTCATTTCTTTCAGATGGAGTGCCTTGTTCACACAGAGATAGGTTTAAGGGGCGTAACTTTCGCGCAAAGTTCCGTGAACTTTTGCTAGGAGTGTTGATAGGGTTTTTGCAAAAAAGTGTGTCCAACACGAGTAAAAGAGTCTTATGCACCCCTTACCCTCCGACACGTTCACTTGATGGTTTTTATTAATGTTTCAAAACGAATTAGGAGGGGGCGGCAAAATACAGGCGGCCCATGGGCGGCAAGTAGGAAAATCCGGCCCTGGGGGGGGGGGGGATAATGGACACTATCATCCCAACCTCCCCTGTGTTGGCAAAGAATGCTGGAAAAGATAGCAAAAATATGGAAAAAACTCTCTATTGGGACCAATACAAATAATTTTCATATTGTTTACGTCTCGTATCGCCTTCCACAGCCCTCATTGTCGTTGCCCCTGACTTAATCCTTGCTTTCAACATTTCGCGCTGATGAATTCCTCGATTTTTTTGCACTATATGACATCTGTTGAGCCCGTCATTTTGGTGCTTAGTCGGAGCAATTTGTTTGGACAGGTGCGCCGAGAAAAGGTGACGTCATAGGCATGTCTAGTCCTCGCATAATTCCCATTTTTCTCTCTTTTTGAGTTCCGTCCGAGTGGAGACCAAACGCTTTTTTATAACCTAATCTTTGCCCTCGCGTTTTGCAATCTGCGGAGTTTATTGCTTCGGGCGTATGGCAGCTGCCTAGGCCAATAACCTTGGCCGAACCTCTGAACTTTTAGGAAGGAGAGAAAGGGTATCCCGGGATAAGCATGTCAAAATGCCCTTGTGAATGGATTTTTATTTTAACCATTTTAAGTCATCAAGGGGGTCCTAAAACTTAGGTTTTGGGGGGTTTCAGCCCCCCAACCCCCTCCGCCCCCCACAGACCCCCAAAAACCGCTTTTTTGGGCTATTTTTGACTATGCTAACGTCATTTCCTCATAACTTTCGTATTTTTCGATAGAATTGAACCAAAATTTGTCAGAATCTACATCAATTAGCTTAGTTTGTGTAGAAAAAAA